GTGTGTCAGACCCCGGCCGGTCACGGTGACGGGTTTCCGCGTGTGTCAGACCCCCGGCCGGTCACGGTGACGGGTTTCCGCGTGTGTCAGACACCCGGCCGGTCACGGTGACGGGTTTCCGCGTGTGTCAGACACCCGGCTGACCCCCCCCACCACCCACCCCCACTCCGCGCCCCCAAAATAATGGTGACAATCTCTGTACAAAGGGTTCCTGTTGGAGAAACTCCAGTCACCAGAAATGGGAGCTGATTGAATGAAAGGTGATCTTGGTTTATGTTTGGAAGGTTCGGGAAATGTTTGACACAGAACATTCACAGCCCCAAACAAAGGCAGAACTGTGCAGTTTTTTTTTGTTTTGCAGGTTGCCCGTCAAGGCTTCAGGAAACAATTCGACGACTATTAAATGGAGACACAGATAAGCACAGACAAAGGGAACTGCATCACCGCTCAGGTAACTTGGCACATGAAAGAGAGCGCGAGGGAGAGAGAGAGAGAGAGAGAGAGCGCGAGGGAGGGAGGGATGGAGAGAGAGAGAGAGAGAGGTGCCTGAGGCGAAGGGTGATAACATGTCTCTGCCTTCACAGTACACAGCATCTCCACAGGTGTGTGTGTGTGTAGAAATGTACAGCGATCCCGGCATTTAACCCGGCGCCTTTATCGCGTCTTCGAGACGTCTCAAAGCGCTTCACGGGATTCTCTGCCAAGCGTGGCGACTGCGCGCGTTGCGGGCGAAACACGGCAGCCGATCGCGCCCGGCGACGTCCACCTCCCCCCCCCCCCGCCAACAAGCCGTGGATCGAGCGAACAATTTTCCTTCACGTCGGTGGGTTTATCGCCCCCGGGAAAGCGATCCGCCGATGGACTAACGAGCGGGTTCCTACTTAAACCGAGGCGCGCGCGGAGTACGGGGATCCGCCTAAGGTCTCGCCCTGGACCGGTCCTGCCCGGGAATCGAACCCGGGGTTGGGGGGGAGGCACATTTGTGATGAATCAATTCCTATTGATTCCCATTTCCCCCTGGCCTGGCCTGGCCTGGCCTGGCCTGGCCTCGCCGCTCTCGCGGAAACCCGTCACTGTGACCGGCCGGGTGTCTGACACACACGGAAACCCGTCACCGTGACCGACCGGTTGTCTGACACACGCGGAAACCCGTCACCGTGACCGGCCGGGGGTCTGACACACGCGGAAACCCGTCACCGTGACCGGCCGGGTGTCTGACACACACGGAAACCCGTCACCGTGACCGGCCGGGTGTCTGACACACACAGAAACTTGTCACCGTTGCTTAGGAGTCTCCAAACCCAACTGAGAATTCCCCACATCCCATCTACACACGGAAATCTCAGAGATAGGTCGTTGGAATGGGACGCTCTCTCTCTCTCGCTCTCTCTCTCTCCCTGGAGGGACGCTCTCTGCTTACCTAATTCCGGAGAGTATTAGGCGCAGGTTGGGCGAGAGCCAAGGCTTGAGGGGGAGCCCAGAGTGTGCGTTGGGGTAACTACTGGCGTCTAACCAGCTCAAACCACACAGCTTGGCCATCGAGAGAGAGCGAGGGAGAGAGAGAGAGAGAGCACTGTCTGGCCAGCTTTCCCACTGCTTGTCCAGGAAGGACCACCCTCCCCGTTGGGCAAGTTTCCTCACTCCAAGTGCCTGATCACCGAGCAGTAAATCGGAACTCGGTTGTTAGTCGATTGGCAGATCACTTTTCTGGGGTCAAGTCATGAACAAGAGACACACTCAACATGGACACTCACAAACCCATAGAGAGTGAGACACACTCACAGAGAGACACTCACACTCACACAGACACTCACACACACATAGAGAGTGAGACACACTCACAGAGAGACACTCACACTCACACAGACACTCACACACACATAGAGAGTGAGACACACTCACAGAGAGACACTCACACGGACACTCACACACACATGGAGACACTCACAAACACATAGAGAGTGAGACACACTCACAGAGAGACGCTCACACTCACACAGACACTCACACACACATGGAGACACTCACAAACACATAGAGTGAGACACACTCACAGAGAGACACTCACACAGACACTCACACACACATAGAGAGTGAGACACACTCACAGAGAGACACTCACACGGACACTCACACACACACATGGAGACACTCACAAACACATAGAGAGTGAGACACACTCACAGAGAGACACTCACACTCACACAGACACTCACACACACATAGAGAGTGAGACACACTCACAGAGAGACGCTCACACAGACACTCACAACAGCGGATAGACAGCCAGAAGTTACATTTCATAGCGGGTTTCAAAGAATCGTCGAATTATACAGCGCAGAAGGAGGCCATTCGGCCCATCATGCCCTTGCCAGCTTTTTGAAAGAGCTGTCTGAATCAGTCCCACTCCCCACGCTTTCCCCAAAGCCTTCCAATTTTGTCCTCCCCAAATATCTATCCACACAACAACAACAACATGACATTTATAGAGCGCCTTTCACGTCGGGAGGACGTCCCAAAGCGCTGGACAGTCAGGTGTCGGGGCCGAGCATGGGGGAGGGGGGGTCTAGGGGTGAGGGAAGGCAGAGAGGTGGGAGGGCGACCGAAGGCACGATCGAAGAGAAGGGTCTTGAGACCGGCCTTGAAGGAGGCACAGGGAGGAAGCGAGGCCAAGGGACCGTGGGATGGAGTTCCAGAGTGTGGGGGCAGAGAGGCTGAAAGCCCGGCCACCGAGGGTAGGGCGGGTCGGGCGGGAGACACGGAGCAGCCGGAGCCCGATGAACGGAGGGAGGGGTCCCCGGGTTGGTAGGGAGGAGGTGGGGGGGGGGAGAAAGGACAGTTCCGGGTCAAACAAGACCCCCGGGTTCCTGACTGGCTTCGTGGGGTTGAGTGGGCAGCTGACGTGGGCAGCTGACGCCGGCACTTCTCTCTTGAAAGTAGTTATCGAGTAGGTTTCCACCGCCCTTTCGGGCAATGCTTCCCAGACCCGAACAGGCTCGCTGCGTAGCGGAGGAGGGTGTTTTTTGGCGGTAAAATCACAACCGCTTTTTTTCTATTGGCCCAGCTTATGGGTTGTGTCATAATGTGTGGGATTGTGACCTAAAAGCAGTTGCCCTGGCCACAAGAAGTTCAAGCCGGGCAAGTGATAGGACAGCACACGAGGCGAACTTGCCACGACACAAGCAAGAGCACGCGCACTCTTGTCGCTAAGCCAAACTGCGTCGATCGATCGAACCATCGACGAAGCTTGTTCCCCCCCCCCCCCAAAAAAAAAAAAACTCCCTTTCGCAAGTAGAACCCGAATGAGTAAGACAGGATGAGTAAATACCTCGGAAAACCCGTTGCCGCCCTGGCACAGTGCCCGTCTCAGTCTCACGAGGCCTTCACGGAAATCGCGGCCATAGTGATGGACATCGGGACCGGTTACACCAAAGCAGGTTTCGCCGGTGACGATAAACCGCGAGTGGTCCTGCGTTCCCTGGTTGGCATTCCCATCCACCAGCCCGTGCACGACCACAACAAAGGACCCGATTACTACATCGGGAACTCAATCCCCAACGATCCTTGGATTACCAAAACCAGAGTGGTGACCAACGGGATTGTGACGGACTGGGACGCCCTGGAAATGCTGTGGCATTACGTGTTCTATCAAGAGCTCCGAGTCGCCCCAGAAGAACATGCTATCCTGCTCTCCGATGCTCCCTTGTCCCCTATAACCAACAGGGAGAAGTCGGCAGAGCTGCTGTTTGAAGGGTTTGGGGTCCCAGCCTTGTTCATTGCCCATCAGACCTTGCTGTCGCTCTATTCCACTGGCAGGACAACTGGACTGATTATCGAGTCGGGCCTGGGGGTGTCTTACACCGCACCGATCCACAACGGTTACACGTTGCCTCATGCCACCTTCCGCCTCGACCTGGCTGGAGGTTGTCTCACCGAGTACATGGGAAAACTCCTGGAGGAGTGTGGCAACCCTTTCAGCTCCGAGGAGACACACATTGTCAGGAACATCAAGGAGACTTGTTGCTATGTGACCCATGATTTCCAAGAGGAGATGGTGGCCAGCGAGAGCGATTACCTGACCGACTATGAGTTGCCGGACGGACACATTATCACGATAGGGAATGAGCGTTTCCGGTGTCCTGAGGCCCTCTTCAAACCCCAAGTCATCGGTCTCGCTGACCCAGGCCTGCACATCTTGGCCATGAAGAGTCTTCAGAAATGCAAAGAGGGGATCCATTCCGAATTGCTCAACAATATTGTTCTGTCGGGCGGTTCGTCAATGTTCCCGGGATTTGCTGAGCGGATCCAGAAGGAGATCGGAAAACTGGCTCCCAACCGTTCCAAGCTGAACGTCTATGCTTCCCCACAAAGGAAGTTCTCGGTCTGGATCGGGGGCTCCATCACGGCCTGCCTGAACACCTTTCAGTCCCTCTGGGTCCGCAAGAAGGATTATGAGGAGGAGGGGTCCGTGATTGTCCACCGCAAATGCTTTTAGGAGAAGAGTAGAGAGAGAATCTGGAGAGTTAGCATTGCAATGAGAGTGGCGAGATAAAATGGTTCTAATAATAAATTAGGATAAGTTGGACCCGGAGTGGATTGGTCTTTTTATCATCACAATCGGCCGGGCAGGCGGGCAGTCCTTCAGCCTCTCTCTCTCTCTCTGCCCTCACCCTCCGGAACTCCATCCCACAGTCCCTCCACCTCACCCCCTCCCAAACAACACCAACACTTGACATTTACACAGCGCCTGGCTTTCATGTCAGGAGGACGTCCCAAGGAGCTGCACTGGAGAGTCAGGGATTTGGACCTGAGCTGGGGGTTGGCATCAGGAGGTGGGTGGAGGGCAGGGAGGGAGGGTGGGGATAGGAGGGTGACCGAAGGCACGGTTGAAGAGAAGGGTCTTCAGACGGGTCTTGAAGGAGGCAAGGGAGGGGGCGATCGAGGCGGAGGGACTGTGGGATGGCGTTCCAGAGGGTGGGGGCAGAGAGGCTGAAGGCCTGCCTGCCAATGGTGGGGCAGGCCGGAGCCCGCTGAGCGGACAGGTCGGTAGGGGGTTAGGAGGTCACAGAGGTAGGGAGACCCTCCTCTTCGACCGAGCCTTCGATCACCCTCCTACCCTCACCGCCCCGCCCTCCGGGTGCAGATCCCTGACTGCCCAGCGCCTTGGGGGGGGTGGGGGTGTCCTCCCGACGTGAAAGGCAGGTGCTGTGTAAATGTGATGTGTTGTCCTCGTCGTTGATCAGATGCAATGTGCCCGGTAGCGAACTCTGACCGAACCGGCCCAGTCAGGGCTTGTGCTGGCCCGGTCAATGAGATTCCATAAGGTTCTGGTCTCCGCGGAAACACTGAGATATCTGGGAGGTCGTTCCTAAGTTTGGAAAGAACGAGACGTCAAACTGACAGCTTCACTGGTTTACACATTCACAAAAGTGGGGTCAGATTCAATCCAAAGCCTTTCAAAACCCAACCCCAGTGAAATCCAAGCCAAAGGAATAAGTCCCCTCTCTCTGGGGTGGGGAGGGAAGAGGTTAAGGTGGGTGGGGGGGTGGGTGGGTGGGGGAAAGCTCTGATCTGTGTCCCCTGTTGTTAAAAGTCTTCCGGGTTTGGTTTAACCGTAGCTCAGCGGTCAGAGCCCTCGCCTCGCAAGCGAGAGGACCTGGGTTCGATTCGCAGGTCGGGGCGAAACCTTAAGCGAGTCTCCTTACTTCCCCCCCCACCCCCCCCCCCCCCCACCATACACACACACACACACACACGCCTCTGTTTCCCTCGCGGAGTAATAGTAATTATTGTCGTTACAACCCTTCCAAACAAAAATAATAATAATGTGGTCACGGCTGTTTGCGGGGACGTCGCCGGGCGCAGCCGGCCCGCCCGCAGAACGCACAGTCACTACACTTTACCGTGCATCCTGTGACGCGCTTTGAGGCGCCTCGAAGAGGTGACACGGCGCGGTTATTCGCTCGACACACACCACACCGCTTGCACGGCATCAATTTGGCTGAATATTTATTGTGCCGAGTGGAACAGAAGGCTTAGCAGGGGGCCTGGATTCATGTTAAATGGCTTCACATCTGTTTGCAACGATTCCAACAGAAGAGGTCGATTGGGGGGTTGGAAGAATGATGATGGCAGATCGCAGGGAAAGGCAGCTCACATCAGTCCACTGGGCTTTCCTGCAAAGCAGAGAAACAGCCTCGTCAACGTTGGAATAATCCTCATTACATTCATTGCATTCGATGCAGCGCCTCATCGCGTCTTTGAGACGTTCTCAAAGCGCTTCACGGGATACGCCTGTAAAGCGTCATTACCCCCCCCGAGAAACGACCCATCAAGCGACGAACGGCTGAATTCAGCGAACCTCTTCGCTCAAGCACTGCACAAAACAAGGTAACGTCACATCATGCCTAGGGCAAACGCTCAATGAAATTTCCAATACAACCAGTTTCCTTGGCTTGCGTCAGGTTAAGCAATATCGCTTGCCAAACCCTCTCCTGACCTGGCTTAACTTGCTCGAACATGGGAACTTTGGGAGACGGTTGTCACTTTGCCGAATCTTGCGGTTACCGTTCAGGATTTCTAAAGAAAAATGTTGGGAGCATCGGAGAGATTGCAGAGGAGGTTTCCCAGAATGGCACCGGGATTGAAGGGGCTTCAGTTACGTGGAGAGACGAGACGAGACGAGAGAAGCTGGTGCTCCTTCGAGGGCAGAAGGTCGAGGGGAGATTTGAGTCGTTCGGGATCATGAGGGGTTTGGATAAGCGCGGCGAGGGAGAAGCTGTTTCCTCTGGCTGGTGGGGGGGGTGGGGTGGGGGGGGGGCGGGTGGGTCGGTAATCAGAGGACGCAGATTTAAGATAATCGGTAAAAGATCCAGAGGGGAGACGAGGAAACTTTCTTTTTTGTTACGGTCTGGAACACACGGCCTGAAAGGCCGGTGGAAGCAAATTGGTTGATAGCTTTCAGAAGGGAATTGGATAGGGACTGAAAAAGGAAATATGTGGAGGGCTATGGGGTAAGTACGGGGGGAGTGGGGACTAGTTGGGGTAAGAGTGGGGACTAGTTGGGGTAAGAGCAGGGGAGTGGGACTTGTTGGGGTAAGAGCGGGGCTAGTTGGTGTAAGAGTGGGGGAATGGGACTAGATGGTGGCTCTTCCAAAGGGGCACAATGGACCGAATGGCCTCCTCCTGTGCTATGAGAGATTATGAATCTAAAATGGTGCCCTTCTGATTTGCACGCTAGCAAGGTAGGAAGCATTTGATATCACCTCCACACCCCATTGGAAACTAGACAATTATGCATTGTTCCTACAAGACATGTCCTCTCAGGCCGGATACTAACTCCGAACCTGTGGTGCTCAAATTCCGAGCACCTATATTCCTCAAACCCTGGGTGTCAGCTCGACTTAGTCACTCCCACTCTCACCTCTGAGTCACAAGCTTGTGGGTAGATTGTCACGATATACTTTGAGCTCACAGCCAAGGCTGACACTCCAGTGAGCGTGTGATGAATTTCGGATGAGATGTTAAACCTCGCTCTCTCCCCGACTACCTGTTCGGGGAGACGTTAAAGATCTCCCGCGGCGCCGTTCGTAAAGAGGAGTCTCTCTCTCTCCCAGTGTCCTGGCCGACAATCCCCGATAAGATTGGTTCCTTCGCGGCGCTTCCTGGGACTGTTCTTGAACTTGTGTCCTCTCCCGCACCAGGCTCCGTGACTCTCCGTTCCCCAGAGGATACAGTTCAAAATCCTCAGTGGGCTCCGGCCTGCTCCACATGCCCCGCCTTGCCCGCCCCACCATTGGCGGTTGGGCCTTCAGCCTCTCTGTCCTCACCCTCTGGAACTCCATCCCACAGTCCTTCCGTCTCACCACCCCTTCCCTTACCTCCTTCAAGACCCGTCTTAAGACGCTCCTCTTCGACCGCGCCTTCAGTCACCCTCCTACGCCCGCCTTCCCCGCCCTCCTGATCCCAACCCCCAGCTCGGCTCCAAACCCCTGACTGTCCGGCACCTCGGGACGTCCTCCCCGCACAAAAGGTGCTGCGTAAATGCAATGTGTTGCTGTTGTTGCCGTGTGCAAATTGGCGGTTGCGTTTCACCTGCAAAACGCAGTCCGAGCCTTCGCAGCGCATCTTTGGAAGCGCTTTGAGACGCGACAAGGCGCTGGGTCAGATGTAAGGATTCTTATAATTGTCCAAATTTGTGGGAAACTTTGATTTGAGTCCTGATCTGAAAAGGCTGTTTTCTGCAGTTTATAAAATTGTCAAAGTTTCGAATGTTTTTGTTCCAAAGAAACAAGAACAGGAAATGATTTTCATACTTTGGAAATTGAGCACAGATGCAGTCCTTCTGGCCCGAGCCTCACGAAAAAACCATTCAACTCCCGCTCTGTTGGCTGGAACTCCACTCGATCGCTGCTCTCGCTCGCCTCTTCGCTCCATCGGTTCCCCCCACCCTCGCCCGGCTCCACTGGCTCCCACTTCCCCCAGAGGATCGAGTTCAAGGTCCTCGTCCTCCCCTTCGAAGCCCTCCACGGCCGAGTTCCTTCCTACCTCTGTGACCTGCTCAACCGTTGACTCAACCATAGTGATGGGTTTCTGTGTGTGTCAGGATCCCCGGCCGGTCACGGTGACGGGTTTCCGTGCGTGTCAGACACCCGGCCGGTCACGGTGACGGGTTTCCGTGCGTGTCAGACACCCGGCCGGTCACGGTGATGGGTTTCCGTGTGTGTCAGACACCCGGCCGGTCAGGGTGATGGGTTTCCGTGTGTGTCAGACACCCGGCCGGTCACGGTGACGGGTTTCCACGTGTATCGGACACCCGGCCGGTCACGGTGACGGGTTTCCCTGTGTGTCAGACACACGGCCGGTCACGGTGACGGGTTTCCGTGTGTGTCAGACACCCGGCCGGTCATGGTGACGCGTTTCCGTGTGTGTCAGACACCCGGCCGGTCACGGTGACGGGTTTCCACGTGTATCGGACACCCGGCCGGTCACAAGAAAAGGACAATCACTGAATAGTGCGAAACAATAAATGCACAGTGGGGGGAGGGAGGGAGAGAGCAATGGAGCTTTGCGTAGTTGCTGTAACAATTCTCTGCAACAAAGAAGACTTTTGGCTTATCGATGCATTCAGGCTTTCACCTCGCTCTGCCCGAGGCAGTTTGAAACACAATATATATCCTCCTGAGGTATGTGACACAGGTCAGGATTCCTAGAGACACTGTAGGTATTCACTGCTTTAATCTCCCTGATCTCCTTGTTTGCTTCAGTGGCTGAATTTATTTCATGATGAGCTGCACTGCGTGGCTCTCCAAGACATTGCACATTCCAGGCGGAGACACTGAGAGCCAGAGAGAGAGAGAGCGAGAGAGGAGAGCAAGGGAGAGAGCTATTTCGTTGGATGAAAGTCGGACGAAATCGGCCTGTGAGCTGTCAGTTGGGCCACCGTTGGAAAGGAGAAAAGTGTGTTCCTTGCCTGATGTCCTAACCAACAAACCTTCGCGGAAATCGGTGGCTCGTGTACTGTTTGTGGGCACAGCTACCACGGTGGCGGGTTTCCGTGTGTGTCAGACACCCGGCTGGTCACGGTAATGGTTTTCCGTGTGTGTCAGACACCCGGCTGACAATCTACCCCTGGGATCAGGAGGGTTGGAGCCCAGGGAGGGTGGGGGTAAGAGGGTGGCCGAAGGCATGGTTGGTTGAAGAGGAAGGTCTTGAGAAGGGCCTTGAAGGAGGGGACGAGGCAGAGGGACTGTGGGATGGAGTGCCAGAGGGTGGGGGCAAAGAGGCTGAAGGCCTGACCGCCAATGGTGGACTGGGGTTGAGGCGGGGGACGTGGAGCAGGCCGGAGCTGCTGATATAGGGTTAGGAGGTCACAGAGGTTGTGGGGGGAGCAAGGCCGAGGAGGACCTTGAAGGTCCAGGACGAGGATTATGAACTCTATCCTCTAGGGGATGGGGAGGCAGTGGAGCCGGGCGAGAGTGGGGGTGATAGAGTCACGGAGTTTAGAGCGGAAGAGGACACATGTTCTGAATAAAATGAAGTTGTCTCTCTTGCTCAGTGTCCAACTCCCTGTGAGTGCACCGAGACACCACCCTAAGTTGCTGTTTTTGCCAATATTTAGCCCATTGAGATGCCAGAAAGACTCCCTCTTCAATGTCATACAATCCATCAGCGCCACCTTCAGGCAACGTACACAAAACCTCCCTGGCAAATGGGATACCAACATTCCCCAATTTCATCCCTTCCTCCTTTTATCTCTCTCTCCCTCCCTCACTCCAGATTCTCCTCCTTGGGGTGAGGTGGAAGGGCAGTGAGGTCTCCTTGAAGCTGAACGTGCCCCAAGGTGACATGTTTAGCAATGGAGTGTCAGAATGGAGCCCGGCCTCTGTGACGGTCTCCAGTCTGTTCCTGAGCCAGGAGGGTCCACAGTATCCCAGGGCACTCACTGCTGACGGCAGCACAGCCCGGCCCGGCTCATCGGCAGGACCTGGAAGGGCAGAACAGTTACTGGGGGGCAGGAAATCCTCCCCCTCAGCTCCTGTTAACCCCACAGCCAAAGCCCTGACTAATGAGGAGGGCGGTCCTCGCTGGACAAGAGCTCTCAATGGCCAAGCTGTGTGGTTTGAGCCGGTTAGACTCCAGCAGTTACTCTATGCACACTCTGGGCTCCCCCCAAGCCTTGGCTCTTGCCAACATGTGCCTAATGTTCTCTGGAATTAAGCAGGGGGGTGAGGGGAGGGAGAGAGAGAGAGAGAGAGAGAGAGAGAGCATCCCATTCCAATGACCTATCTCTGAGATTTCCACGTGTAGGTGGGATGTGGGGAATTCTCAGTTAGGTTTGGAGACTCTTAAGCAACGGTGATGGGTTTCCACATGGGGCAGACACCAGGGCTGACAAACATTCCTTCCACTAACCCTCCCAGCCCGAGCAAGCGCTAAAAGAGGAAAGATCAGCTTTGTTACCACATGCAAAGAGGGAATCATCTGCGTGCATCTCTTCATTTAAGATGTCTGGCATTGGACACCTCGCTGGGACCCTGCCTCGTCTTCAAAGGCCTCGCTGGTGTACTCATTGCTGTGGTGGCTTTGTGTATCTAGGTCCATCAGGTCAGCCTGCTCCATGTCCTCTGTGAACATAGGAACATATATATAACATGGAGTCCTGTAGCTCAGCGGTTGGAGCACTCGCCTCGCAAGCGAGAGGACCCGGGCGGGTCTGGGCGAAACGTTGGGCAAACGTGAGGGTAATAATCCCTCCACAAAAATGTGTGGGTCCCTGCTGTGTGCAATTGGCTGCCATGTTTCGTCCACAAAACAGTCACTACACTTTACAGTATGCTCTGTGAAGCGCTTTAAGACGCAGAAGTGAATGCAAGGATTTTTATTATTATTATTGTCATTCCTTTGAAGGATATGTTGAACCATAAAGTCGCTACACGACTCGAAGATGTGATAAAGCACTATATCAAAATGCAAGGATTATTATTATTATTATTATTATATATAGCAACGTGGGAACAGGAGAGGCCATTCAGCCCCTTGAGCTTGTTCCACCCATCTATAAGATCATGACTGGTCTGTACCTCAACTCCAATTGCCTGCCTTGCCACGTATCCCTTGACACCCTTGTCTAAACGATTTCATTTCATATTTTATATGTTTTATAATCTACTGTAGATTTTACCTGTGGCAGTAAAATCCGTCTGAGGCGGAAGAAGGAATCTCAACTTGTGGAGGTCAGCGATAGGAATCCAACCCGGCTCTGGGAATTTTACCTGCGTGATAATCATATCAACAATAATATGAATAATAATATTAATAATAACCCTTGCATCTGAGTCCTCCCACAGGAGTCCTCCCGGCTGAGTATAGATCAAGATGAAACGTCTGTGTGTCTGTCTATGTGCCAATCTACCCTCCATATTGGATCCTTTGGTTGGAAACAAAGCTGCAACGGGTACAGTTAGTTTGATAGAGCGCCTTATCACGTCGTTGGGACATGAAAGGCGCTATACAAATGTAATTTGTTCTTGTGTATCGAGACGTCTCAAAGCGCTTCACAGGATACACTGTAAAGTGTAGTGACTGTATATTTTGTGGGCGAAACGCAGGAGCCAATTGTGCCCGGCGACGTCCCCACAAACAGTCGTGGATTGAGTGACCAATTAATANTTTTTTGGAAGGTTTATTACCCCCAGAAAAGCGATCGGCCAATCGACCGACTCGCAAGTTCCTACTCACTGCTGGTAAACAGAGGCGTGTGGAGTAAGGAAACTTTCCCAGCGTTCCGCCCTGCCGGGAATCGAACCCGGGTCCTTTCGCTTGCGAGGCGAGTGCTCGAACCCCTGAGCTACAGGACACCACATAGAGCGCCTTATCACATCGTTATCACAGTACCCAATCAGGTATAAAAATAGAGGCAATATTTACGACTGATCAATATTTAATTCCTGATTATTATTATCTTTGCTCTTTGTATAATCGTTGCCTGTGGAAGTGTAACCAAGGAAAGAATTGATTGGGGCCAATGAGATATTGTGGACATTTACCTGGAACTGTATTATGAGCAAACCCCTCTCAAAAGGGTTCCTATGTAAGGGCATTCCTTCATTCAGAATACATTTCACGTCACCTGGTCTGATCACTTCTCCTACAGAAACAACCGTAAAATAATAATAATAATGATAAAAAAGTGGGCATTTTTGAATTTCATACATCTCAAAGCGCTTTGTAGAGGTTTACTGTCAAATGGAGTGACTGTATAGCTGAGACAGGCAGATGAGACCTTGGTTCAACACCTCCTTCAAAGGAATAACAACAATAATAATATTCCTTGTATTTAATACTGATCACAGGGTCGAGACGTCTCAAAGCGCCTCATAGAATATACTGTAGAGTGCAGTGACTGTGTATTTTGTGGGCGAAACGCGGCAGCCGATTGCGCACAACAGTGTCCCACAAATAGCCGTGGATTGAGTGACCAAGTTGGATTTGTGCAGTCCTGTAGCTCAGTGGTCTGCCTCGCAAGCGAGAGGTCCCAGGTTCGATTCCCGGGTGGGTCAGGTCAGGCCGAAACGTTGGGCAAGTTTCCTTACTCCACACGCACACGCACACGCACACATGCCTCTGTTTACCGAGCAATAAGTAGGAACCCGCTTGTTAAGTCAATTGCCAGATCGCTTTCCAGGGGTAACAACCCCTTAAAAAAAATATGGTCACTCAATCCACGACTGTTTGTGGGGACGTCGCTGGGCGCAATTGGCTGCCGCGTTCGGCCCCGAAAAGCACAGTAACTACACTTTACAGTGTACCCTGTGAAGCGCTTTAAGACGTCTCAACGACGTGATAAGGAGCTGTATCAAATGCAAGGATTATTATTATTTTGTGGGTGAAACACGACCGCCAATTGCGCACAGCAACGTCCCACAAACAGTCATGGATTGAGGGACCAGTTTGGCGTTGGTTAGTGTTACAGGTGTGAGTGTTACCTGGCCGGGAGCCGATCACCAGGGTTCTGTTATCAAGGGTTTTGATGGTGTGTTTGAGCCCACACAAGGCCTCCACCAGGTTGATTTCCATCTGGGTGATGAGATTGTTCTCGCTGCGCTGAAACGACGCATGTTCTTTCTGATCGAGGATAATTATCACATCGCCAGGCTCAAGTCCCGGCAACTGGTCACCCTCTCCGTGGAATGTGATCTTCTGTCCGTCCTTCATCCCTGAATCCAACACAGTTTACGTCAACAACAACAACAAATTGCATTTGCTGTTTCCTTTCATGTTTGCTCCACGTCCCCCTTCAGCCTCTCAGCCCCCACCCTCTGGAACTCCGTCCCACAGTCCCTCCCTCCCTCGCCTCCTTCGAGGTCCGTCTCAAGACCCTACTCTTCGACCAACCGCACCATCGGTCACCCCCACTCTACCCCTCCTGATCCCAACCCCCCAGCTCGGGTCCAAACCCCTGACTGTCCAGCGCCTTGGGACGTCCTCCCGATGTGAAAGGCGGGCGCTGGGTAAATGTCACTTGCTGTCGTCGTTATAATAAGTAATATCAATCCTTGCATTTGACGCAGCACCTTATCGCATCTGCCCGAGGTCTCAAAGCACTTCACAGGATACACTGCAAAGTGTAGTGACTGGATATTTTATGGGTGAAACGGGGCAGCCAATTGCGCGCAGTGGTGTCCCACAAACAGTTGTGGATTGAGTGACCACATTATCATTATTTTTTGAGGGGTTTATTACGCCAATCGACTAACAACTGGGTTCCTACTTGCTGCTAGGCCAACAGAGGCGCGTGCGTGGAGTAAGGAAACTTGCCGATGGTTTCGCCCTGACCCGCCCGGGAATCGGACCCGGGTCCTCTTGCTTGCGAGGCGAGCGCTCTAAACACTGAGCTACAGGATAGCACGTTGTTGTTGTTGTTGTTGTTGTTGAAAGATACCTCTGTCTACGTGCACCTCCAAGATCTTCTTCTCTCGCACTACTTTCTTGCCGCTGCACGTCTTGCATCTGTCCTTGGCGTTAATCCGCTCGCCCTCTCCTCGACACTCCGAGCACATGGTCTGAATTTGCTGGATTATACCAGGCCCTATCTGTTGGATGTGGACCTCAGTACCACTCCCCCTGCAGTTCGGACAGCGCTCCACAGACCCCTCCTTTCCTCCGTATCCTGAGGGAACAATAATAATATTAATGAATAATAATAATGTACGGTATAAATAATAATAATCCTCGCCTTTGATACAGCGCCTTATCATGTCTTCGAGACGTCTCAAAGCGCTTCGCAGGATACACTGTAAAGTGTAGTGATTGTGTATTTTTTGGACTGAACACGGCAGCCAATTGTGCACAAACATTCGTGGGGTTCACCCCCTCACCCCCTCCCTCGCCTCCTTCAAGGCCCGTCTCAAGACCCTCCTCTTTGACTGAGTCTTCGGTCACCCTCCTACCCCCACCCTCCCCGCCCTCCACCCCCTCCTGATCCCAAGCCCCAGCTCGGGTCCAAATCCCTGACTGTCCAGGGCCTGGGACGCCCTCTCGAATTCCTTCCCTGGGCGGAGTAACACTCACCATTACATTTCTGGCAGATCACATTCTTCTGCAGAGTAAGCTTCCTGGTAGCTCCGTTGTACATGTCTTCCAAGGACATTGATAACTGATGGGCCACGTTTCTCCCTACAACGCAGTGAAGCATATTTATAATAATAAATCCTTGGAGTTCACATAGCGTGTGTGTGTGCGTGTGTGGAGTAAGGAAACTTGCCTAAGGATTCGCACCGAACTGACCCGCCCGCGAATCGAACTCGGGTCCTCCGGCTTTGCGAGGCGAGCGCGATACCCGCTGAGTAAGACGTTGCAGGAGCCGCTTACCTCTTCGCTCTGGCCTGGAGTGCATTCGACCGCCACCACCGAAAAACATGTCAAAGATATCCATCGGTGAGTGAAACCCACCGCTTGTTCCTCCACCTTTAATGGCCTCCTCACCACCTCTATCGTATAGGTCTCGCTTCTTCGAATCCGAAAGGACCTCGTAGGCTTGAGAAATGCCCTTGAACTGAAAAATCAACCAGAAATAGACGGCAGCAATGCAACGAGTTCTTGGGAGAGATGACTCGAAACAGCTGACGCCGTCCGCCTGTCAAGGGCGCTGCGTGATATTCCTTGCGCTCGACACATCACGTTGTTGAGGCGTCTGAAAGCGCTTCGCGGGATACACTGTAAGGTGGAGTGACCGTGCATTTTGTGGGGCGACGTCCCCCGCGGTGGTGGATTGAGTGACCGCATTGTTATTATTTTTGGAGGGGTTATTACCCCTGGAAACCCCTGGGGGGGGGTTAAGGAAATTGGCCGAAGGTTTCGCCCTGTCCTACCCCAGAATCGAACCCAGATCCTCCCGCTTGCGAGGCGAGCGCTCTAACCCCTGAGCTACAAGGGCCGCGCGATGACGTGGTCGCTCATTCCACGACTGTTTGTCGGTGCGCAATTGTCGAGCGAAGTCCTCGCATTTTGATACTGCGCCTCATCGCGTCTTCGGGACTTCCCAAAGCCCTTCGCAGGGTACGCTGCGAAGCGGAACTGACTGCATATCTTTTTTTCGGGGGGGCGAAAGTCTTTGGCGCTTTGTTCCTTACCCGTTCCCCCTCCTCTGGGTTTTTGTCGGGGTGGAACTTCAGCGCCAGTTTGCGATAGGCCTTCTTGATTTCTTCTGTGGAGGAACCGGGTTCGACTCCGAGAATATCGTAATATCCGGTTTCCAGCACCATGTTTACCCGCAGCCTGGGCACAGGAGACACACCAATCACTGCTGGGTGAGTGCCCCGCCCGGCCCCCGGGCTTCCGTGCCCTGCCCCGCCCCGCCCTCTCCAGTCTCCCTGCCCCTCCCTGGATCCCTGCCCCGCCCTCTCACTGGCAAAAATCCCCTCCCGTTGAGTAACAGCCCTTCCCATTGAGTAACAGTCCCCCTCCCTGAGTAACAGCCCCTCACTCTTAAGTAATAGTGAGTAACACTACCCTGAGTAATATCCCCTCCCTCTGAATAACAGCCCCGCCCCTGTGTAACAGCGCCGCCCTCTGAATAATAGCCCCTCCCATTGAGTAAGTCCCTCCCATTGAGTAACAGCCCCTTCCATTGAGTAACAACCCTGCCCATTGAGTAATAGCCCCACCCATTGAGGAACAGCCCCTTCCATTGAGGAACAGCCCCTCCCATTGAGTAACAGCCCCTCCCATTGAGTAACAGCCCCTTCCATTGAGTAACAGCCCCTCCCATTGAGTAACAGCCCCTTCCATTAAGTAACAGCCTCTCCCATTGAGTAACAGCCCCTCCCATTGAGTAACAGCCCCTTGCATTGAGTAGCAGCCCCTCCCATTGAGTAACAGCCCCTCCCATTGAGTAACAACCCCGCCCATTGAGTAACAGCCCCTCCCATTGAGTAGCAGCCCCTCCCATTGAGGAACAGCCACCCCCACCCCCCTTGAGGAACACCCCCCAAACCCCAGTTGCTCCAGTGTACCCGCCTGCCCGGTGTCAGGTGTTGGCTCTGGTTGGATGACCTCTGTTGGCACCTCCACCCAGGCTCTTGCCCCACTCACAATGCCCTGTGACAGTGTGCGTGCTGATTGGCCGGAGAACGGAGGCTGGTCAGCCTGACCTGCCCCCTATTGGTTGCTCCGTCTACGTCATTATTGGGTCAATCCGCTCACCGCCTCCATTGATTGGCCAGAAGGCGTCAAACCACTGATTGGCCAGACACCGCCACAGGTAGAAGATCCTCGCTTGCGATTGGTTAGATACCGGCACAGGGAGACATTCTCACTCCCCATTGGTCAGATACCCGCACAGGGAGACATTCTCACTCCTGGTTGGTCGGATGCCAACAGAGGTCAACGTTCTCACGCGTCGTTAGGTCAGATATTCTCGCTCGGGATTCGTCAAGACACCTGTAGAGGCGGGCATTCTCACGTATGATTGGTCAGACGCCGACACAAATTGCTATCCTCACTCCCGATTGGTCAGACACCCGCACAGATTGACATCCTCACTCCCTATTGGTCAGACACCCGCAGAGGTCGACAGACCGGTTCACGATTGGTCATTGCGGTCACCGCCTCCACTGATTGGCCCGACGGTGTCAAGCTGCTGATTGGCCAGAGACCCGCAGAGGGAGGAGGCATCCGGGCGATGACATCCGACCCCTCGGCCCTCCTCCTGCGAGCGGCCATGACGGTCCGCGGCGCGAGAAAAACTACGACACAAACAGAAAACCCGCACTCGCTCGGCCGATCAGTTCATTCACATGTTTATTCCTCCGCGAGACCTTTAAAAAAAAACACACAACACACTCCAAAATCATGTACAAAAACCACCGTTTTTTGGTACAAAATCTCCGGTGGTTTCGCCCGACGCACATTCCGCTGAACACCACGGCAAACACACGTCGATAAAAATAAGAAGAAACAAAAAAAGATTCCCGTGAAATCGCAAACGTGGCGCCAAACTCGCCGTTGCGGGAACTATTTTGTCGTCGGTGTTGGTCAGGATCGACGGTCGCAGCTCCTGGTCTGGTCGCTTCTAGTGACGCTTTCTGTCAGGACTCCGGCTTCTCCTGTGGCCCAACCGGCTGCTGAGAGACGACGTACAACTTATATTATGATGATATAATAATAATAATCCTTGCATTTGACGCAGCGCCTTATCACGTCTCCGAGACGTCTCAGAGCGCTTCACACAATAGAAACAGGAGGAGGCCATTCAGCCCCTCGAGCCTGTTCCGCCATTCTATCAGATCATGGCTGATCTGTACCTCAACACCGATTACCCCACTCTGCCCCGTATCCCTTAACAAACATCTATCCACCTCAGTCTTGAAGATGTGAATGGATCCAGCAACCACACTTTTGTAAAGTGTAGTGACTGTGTATTAAGCGGGCGAAACGCAGCAGCCAGTGTGTGTGCGGTAAGGAAACTTGCCTAAGCTCTTGCCCCATCCTGACCCGGCTGGGATTCGAACCCAGGTCCTCTTGCTTGCGAGGCAAGCGCTCTAATCACTGAGCTACAGGACTGCACAGGGGCGGCTGCAAGATAGGGCGGGGAACTTACCTTCTCTTGCTCTTGGGAGGCCCTCGGACGAAGCCCCAGTCTACGCTGATTTGCTGGCCGGCAAGTTCCGTGCCGTTCAGGCCCTCCATGGCCGCCTGTGCCTCCTTGTACGTCTCATATTCTACCAACGCGTAACCCTGTGGAGACAAACCGGGCATTTTGATTTTGGTCAGCCGAGTGTCTGACACACACGGAAGCCCATAACCGTGATCAGCCGGGTGTCTGACACACACGGAAACCCGTCACCGTGACCAGCCGGGTGTCTGACACACAGGGAAACCCGTCACCGTGACCAGCCGGGTGTCTGACACACACGAGAGCCCATAACCGTGACCAGCCGGGTGTCTTGACACACACGGAAACCCAACACTGTTGCTTAAGAGTCTCCAAACCCAAATGAGAATTCCATGAATCCTACCTACACACGGAAATTCCAGAGATAGGTTGTTGGAATGGAATGCACTCTTTCTCTCTCCGTTTGCCTAAATCCAGAGAGTATTAGACGCAGATTGGGCGAGAGCCAAGGCTTGTGGGGGGTGGGGGGGGAGAGAGGCCAGAGTGTGTATTGGGGTAACTGCTGGAGTCTAACCAGCTCAAACCACACAGCTTGGCCATTGAGAGCTCTGTCTGGCCAGCTGGCCAGCTAGGACCACCCTCCCCGTTCGTTAGTTGGGGCTTTGGCTGCAGGGTTAACAGGAGCTGAGGGGGAGGATTCCTGCCCCCAGTGACCGGTCGACCCCTCCAGGTCCTGCCAATGAGCCAGACTGGGCTGTGCTGTCGTCAGCAGTGAGTGTCCTGGAATACTGCAGCCCCTCCTGCCTCAGGAACCGGAATAGAGACCGTCACAGAGGGCTGGCTTGTGGGGCAATGTGTTGCCGGCGGGCTAACGTACCTTGAGATAGCCAGTGCGTCGGTCCAAGTTCAAGTTGATGTTCTTGATTTCCCCAAATTCAGCAAATCGATCGTGTACATCCTCCTCGGTGGCTTCTTCATGGACGCCCGTCACAAACAGGATCCAACCCTCCACGGCTGCAAGGCAAAAACTCCCAGTCACTCAGGAGGCAGAGGCGTTGGGTTCTCTGCAGTGGGCCGTGGTGCATTGAGCAGGAGAAATTAACTTAATAATAATAAAAATCGTTGCATTTGATATAGCGCCTTATCACGTTGTTGAGAAGTGCTTCAGAGAATATACTGTAAAGTGAATTGACTGTATATTTTGTGGATGAAATGCGGCAGCCAATTGCGCACAGCAGCGTTCCACAAACAGTCGTGGGTTGAGTGATCAAAATTATTATTTTTTTGAAGAGATTATTACCCCCGGAAAAGCGATCCCCCAAACGACTAACCACGGGTTCTTAATTACTGCTGGTAAACAGATGTGTGTGTGTGTGTGTGTGTGTGGAATAAGAAAACTTGCCTAAATTTTGTCCTGTCCGGCCCGGGAATCGAACCCGAGTCCTCTCGCTTGCAAAGCAAGCACTCAAACCTCTAGGCTGTGGGACTCCACTTACATCTCTGAGGTCCTGGTTCATCACCGTCCTGCTCAACGGAGTCATAGTCTTCACGCACTCGGGACCTGGCCCCTTCGTCTGCTGAAAGACAAGTCAAGTCAGGAACCCACGAGAGGCAAGAGACACGAGAAACATTAGACGCAGGCAGTGTCTTAGAGTGTCAAGTGTAAAATGTTACCAACCAGAACCAAAGCCTCTGCCCTTCCGCTTCTTTGCCTTTTCCTTCAGCTTGTGGATACTTTCTGTGAAGAGAGATAAACATGATCAAGACAAATGAGCATATAACTCGCTCTCTCCCGGGGGTGGGGGCGGGGGATGGGGGTGTCTCTGTGTATCAGGACGTCTCTGTGTATTGGTACGTCCCTCCGACGTGAAAGAATCACAGAAGCATAGAATTATACAACAACAACAAAATTACATTCATAGCGTGCCTTTCACGTCGGGAGGACGTCCCAAAGATATACTGCACAGGAGGAGGCCATTCGGCCCATTCGTATGTGCCGGCTCTTTGAAAACAGCTATCCAATTCAATCCCACTCCCCCGCGCTCTCCCCAGAGCCCTGCAAACTTGTCCTCCCCAAAGGCGCAACACAAATGTAATTTTGTTGTTGTTGTTGCAAGCCCACAGGGGCTTTTCACTGTATATGATGCGTGCAGCCTCGTGGTTATGAGTCTGTGGTGGAGTTTTATTATTATTATCCTCGTCTAAGTATAAATTAATTACGAGTCAGGAGGTGATTAATACGTTAGGGCAAAGCAATCTAAGTGGTCTTGATAGGAAATTGAACGGGACTCGGGTGAATGTATGACCTGGGCAATTATACGACTTATAAAGGTGAGACTTCTAAATGATTAAATTATAAAGTAGCGTATTAATCACCACGTAACTCCTAATTCTGTGCGTGTGTGTGTGTGTGTGGGGGAGGGGGGGGGGAGAAAGGGAGGGTAACTGAAGTGTTCATATTTACATTCAATTATATACATTATGATTGTACTCTGGCAAATTAGTGTTGTTGGCCACAAAAAGATGGGAGAGATTCTTTGAAATCCAATCTGAAGAAACGCGGTATTGACTTTAATGCAAAGGAGGAAAACCCCAGAGTTTCGGATGGTACACTAATTAATCACCTCCTGACTCGGAACTCCGCTCCCCTACCCTCCATTACTCCATTGAATTGCGCGCAGGCAGTGTCGATGATTTCGCCCACAAAACGCACAGTCACTACACTCTACAGCGCATTTTAAGCCCTCTGGGCCACAAACCTGCGTGAGGGGCGCGACACAAACCAAGTCGTTGTCGTCTCCGGTGAAAGCGCTTTGAGACGTCGCGAAGAGGCGATAACGCATTATACCGAATGTGAGGATTATCATTAGTATTAAATCAGATTTGATATGACTTACGGAAGTCAGACTTCACGTAAGTCACATTAAACGTTATGGCCGCGACTGATACGACTTATGCGAGTTTTCCTGTTGTCTCTGTAGTCTATAGCGAATGTTCTGTGTGACTGTGGGGGGAGGGGGCGGTGGGGAGGAGGGTGTTTGAGGGTCTCCGGGTCACTCTCTCGGTCTATGTGTATATCTATCTTGTCTCCGAGTCTTTGTGCGTCTCTGCGAGTGTCCGCAGCCGTCTCTCACCGTCGCCCTCGTCGTCCATAGCGAAATCCTCGGCTCCTGCCTCATGAAGGTCCAGTACGTCCGCCATCTTGCGCTGTAGTGAGTGAGCGCGCGCCCGCCCGCCCGCCGCGCCTTTACCAAGATGGCCGCCGGGACTCCGCATCCACGCGGCCGACGGCCATCTTGGTAAAGGGACGGGCGGAAGCGGAAAGGAGGGAGGTAGCCAACGGGAGCGCGGTGACACTGCGCATGCTCCAAGATCCCCTGGACCGCAGCAGTACCGCTCACGCTCTACAGGTGGCGCCGCGCTCTGGAGGTACTAATAGTAGTACTAATAGTAATAATAACAGTAATAAATAATAGCACTAATAATAGCACTAATAGCAACAATGATAGTAATAATAATAGCACTAATGGTAATAATAATAGTAATAATAGTAATAATAGTAATAATAATAGCACTAATACTACTAATAATAGTAGCAATAATAGTAATAATAGTAATAATAATAATAGCACTAATAGTAATAATAATAGTAGCAATAATAAGCATAATGATATAATAATCCTGGCATCAAGACGTCTCAAAGCGCTTCACAGGGCACACGCGCCGCCGCCGCAGGGAGATCGTTAACGCCCGCCCTGAACAGGGCACAGACGGGGCGGGGGGGGGGGGGGGGGGGGAGGGGGGAATGAGGTTTAACGTCTTGTCCGAAAGGGACGGTGTCTCCGACAATGCCCTCTCTCTCTCTCTCTCTCTCTCCCCATCTGCACCGCACCGGAGCGTCAGCTCAGACTGTGTGATTCCAAGTTACGATGTGGGGCTCAAATCCACAGCCTTCTGATGGGAGGAACGAGTGACATTTGTGGCTCAGCTATCAAACTGCGCTGATTAATTTGCCTTCGCACAAAGGGACGTGCATTTGTATCTTATTTACATCATTTTCCAATGCAACAGGACAAGGGAACTGTGGTCGATGAGTAACACTTTCTCAATGTTCCCCTATTCGTAACAGCAGCAGCGTATCGGGCGCAGGTTGGCCAGAGCCAAGGCTTCTGGGGAGCCCAGAGTGTGCGTTGGTGTAACTGCTGGAGTCTAACCAGCTCAAACCACATAGTTTGGCCATTGAGAGCGCTGTCTGGCCAGCTTTCCACGCTGCTTGTCCAGCTAGGACCTCCCTACACGTTAGTTACGGCTTTGGCCGCACGGTTAACGGGAGCCGAGTGGCGGGATTCCCTGCCCCCAGTCACTGTTCTCCCCTTCCAGATCCTGCTGAGGTGCCAGACTGGCTGATATGAAAAAATGGCATTTACCCAGCGACCGCCTTTCACATCAGAAGAACGTCCCAAGGCGCTGGACAGTCAGGGATTTGGACCCGAGCTGGGGGTTGGGATCAGGGAGTGGTGAAGGACAGGGAGGGTGGGGGTAGGAGGGTGATTGAAGACACGGTCGAAGAGGAAGATCTTGAGATGGGTCTTGAAGGAGACAAGGGAGGGGGTGAGGTGGAGGGGCTGTGGGATGGAGTTCCAGAGGGTAGGGGCAGCGAGGCTGAAGGCCCGACCGCCGATGGTGGGATGGGCTGGGTGGGCCACGTGGAGCAGGTCAGTTGACTGTCAGGTGTTTTCGGCAAAGGAGAAATGAAAACAGAGAGCGAGAGAGAGGTTGCAGTGTCTTTGTCATGGTTTATGTACATGATATGCAGTTACAAATTGTTTATATACAACAGGTAAAATAAAAAAGTATTTTGCAGTATGAATACTACAACCTATGTACACCCAAAACAGTTAAAAATAAGGACGATTGTGAAAGAGCATGGACGATTAACTTGGAGACTGAAAAACAGTGACACTGTTGGGTTCTACGGCCGTTTAGGGCCAAGATGAGATTTCCATAGCTGGATTCCTCTCTCTGGGTCAGGCTCCAACTAGCAAAGCCTCCTCATAAATGCTTCGTCTCTTCTTTAATAACAATAATATTCCTTGCGTTTGATATCGCGCCTCATCACGTCTTCGAGACGTCTCAAATCGCTTCATAAGACTCATTGTAAAGTGTCGTGACTGTGTGTTTTGTACGCCTAATGCAGCAGCCAATTGCGCACAGCGACGGCCCACCAACAGCCGTGGGTTGACCAAATTATTTTATTATTCCCGGGTGGGGTGAACCCATAGGCAAGTTTCCTTACTCCACACGCCTCTGCTTCATTAGCGGTAGGATATTTATTGGAATGGAATGCGCTCGCTCTCCCAGGAGGGACGCCCCCCCTGCTTACCTAATTCCGGACAGTATTAGGCGCAGGTTGCCGAGAGCCAAGGCTTGTGGGGGGGAGCCCAGAGTGGGCGATAGGGTAGCTACAGAGAAACTATTTCCTTGGGTGGGTGGGGGCAATCCAGAACAAGGGGGGCATCATCTTAAAATTAGAGCCAGGCCATTTAGGAGTGAAATCAGGAGGCAGTTTCTCTCACACACACACACACACACACGTACAAAGGAGAGTGGAAATCTGGAATTCTCTCCCTCCCCCAAAAGGCTGTGGATCCATTCACATTGTCCAGACTGAGGGATCAAGGGATATGGGGCAAAGGCGGGTAATTGGAGTTGAGGTACAGATAATAATGATAATAATCCTTGCATTTGATATAGAGCCTTATCACGTCTTTGGGATGTCTCAAAGCGCTTCACACAATATACTGTGAAGCCAATTGACTACAGTTTGTGGGTGAAATGCGGCAGCCATGATCTAATAGAACGGCAGAACAGGCTCGAAGGGCTGAATGGCCTCCTGCTGTTCCTATGTTGCTATGAAAGAGACAAACCACTTATTGGGGAGGTGCTGCCGATGAGCCTTGCGAATGCCAGCAATTAGTTGAGGAATACCACAATAGTTACTGATGGAAATCACCCCGACACAAATTGAGATCCTAGGTTCAAAACCATTCAGGGTTTACTAAAATGGGAAGCAGTTACTTTTTCTTTTGAACACGAGACAAATGTTTCTCACTATCTACCGATCATGCAGTCACCAATTAACTCACACATCTACAATACACGATACACACACACACTGATCTGTCTATTGCACCTATTTGGCGATGTAGGAAGACATCAAACAACATGTTACGTATTTGGACAGATTTTTTTCTTCATCATGTGTTTTTTTTTAAACTACGTAATGATCTTTTTCCCAATCTACTTCTCTAACAGGTGTGTCCGTTATGCCTGGGATGTCATTGACAAAAATCTGAGTGAACAGGGCATTTTTCAAGGAATTTTCACCGGTGGGCCACTTTTACATCACTTCTATGATAATAATCCTGGCATTTGATGCGGCGCCTTATCACGTCTTTGAGACGTCTCAAAGCGCTTCACAGGATACGCTGTGAAGTGATTTTATTGTAGATTTTGTGGGCAAAACTCAGCAGCCAATTGCACACAGCGACGTCCCACAAACAGTCGGGGATTGAGTTATCAAATTTTTTGGAGTGGATTATTACCACCGATGGGCCGAATGGCCTCCTTCTGTGCCGTAACATTCTATGATTCCATGACTACCCCTGGAAAGTGATCTGCCAATCGACCAACAACCGGATCAACACTTCCTGCTTCAACCGTCTCCCTCGGGAGCCTGTTCCACAGGTTCACTATTCGCTCACTGAAATAGTGTTAGCTTACAAGCGGGTTCCGACTTACTGCTGGTAAACAGAGGCGTGTGTGTGTGTGTGTGGAGTAAAGAAACTTGCCTAAGGTTTCGGTCTGTCCCGCCCGGGAATCGAACCCGGGTCCTCTCGCTCGCGAGGCGAGTGCTCTAACCCCTGAGCTACGGGGCTCCACGATCATCACAATGTTATTAATTATCAAATTTAGCAAAATCTGCATAAACAGTGAGCGCTCGGCAACTGCCGATGAAATAATAAAATAATAATCCCGGCATTTGACCCGGCGCCTCATCGCGTCTTCCAGACGTCTCAAAGCGCTTCACAGGATACGCTGTAAGGTGTGGTGACGGTATAATTTGTGGGCAAAACGTTGCTTTTTTGTTAAAAAATGCCCTGTTCGGCACATGAGAGAACTCAAGCAATGCCGATCTGTAACTTGAACATTAGAGTGTTACAAAACAGCATTGAAGTTACAATTTTACCACTTGGGCTGTTTTTTCGCTCCATGTTTTCCGATCTTTTCAATGAATTCAGTCACTTGGTCGGTAGTTGAGACAACCATGTTTTTGTGATTCTTCTCTGAACACTCACGATGTGTCACAAGTCCAGCTTGTGTGAAGAACTTTGGTAGCCAGGGGTTTGAGATTAATAGCCCCAGTCGTCAGATAATAATAATAATAATCCTTGCCTTTGATATAGCGCCTTATCACGTCTTCGAGTCGCCTTAAAGGGCTTCACAGGTGAATTGACTGTATATTTTGTGAGCGAAACGTGGCAGCCAATTGCGCCCAGGGACGTCCCACAATCAGTCGTGGATTGAGTGTCTAAATTATTTTTTTAAAAAGGGATTATTACCCCCGGAAAGCGATCCGCTAATCGACTGACAAGTGAGTTCCTACTTACTGCTAAGTAAGCAAAGGCGCACGTGTGTGAAGTAAGGAAACTTCGCCCTGTCCTGTCCCGCAAGGGAATCAAACCCAGATCCTCTCGCTTGCGAGGCGAGTGCTCTAACCACTACACTACCAGGACTCCACATGCAGGTCGAGCGCCAATATCTCCGTCACACCAACCCACCTTGATCAATCGAACGCATCCCAGAGATTTTCTCATGAGCACAAACAATTCTCGGTCACCTGGACCCCTTGTGAACGAGACTGTGGACTTGGAATCTGGAGTTTGGCAATATTTTGGTTGGATTAACAGTGTACAGTTGTTCTTGAATGAAAGCTCCTGAGATTTTCCTTCCATTGACTGACTCATTGACTAACTGACTGATTGACTGGAGAAAGAAAGTTGGCACCTTCGAACTTGGAATGTATCAGCATACATTTGGAATGAATTTGAATGAAAAAATACACTTTCATAATTTCCTCCCATGTCCCACTTCCAGCCTCAATGCTTGAATCCTTGTGTAGCATGGTTCAACTGGTGACACATGGGCCGCATCCGGCCCACGGGCCAATTTCATCCCACCTCCAAGGCTTTCGACCACCCTACCCATTAGGGCTTTGGACCACCCTACCCATTAGGGCTTTGGCTGCAGGGTGAACAGGAGTTGAGTGGGAGGATTCCCTGCCCCCAGTGACTGGTCGGCCCTTCCAGGTCCTGCCGATGAGCCGGGCTGGCAGTGAGTGCCCTGGAATACTGCAAATCCGCCTGGCTCAGGATCCAGACTAGAGACCGTCACAGAGGGCTTGGCTCCATTCTGACACTCCATTGCCAGGCCTATCACCTTGGGGGCAGTTCGGCTCTGAGGAGATCCCGCTTACAGGGAGGAGGGTGACCTAAGGCGTGGTTGGTTGAAGAGGAGGGTCTTGAGATGGGACTTGAAGGAGACAAGGGAGGGGGCGAGGCGGAGGGACTGCGGGATAGAGTTCCAGAGGGTGGGGCAGAGAGGCTGAAGGCCCGACCACCGATGGTGGGGAGGGCTGGGCCGGGAGGGCCTTTGAGATGACAAATAGTCAAGAATTATAAATAAGTTTAGATTGCTTCTGAAGAGTCTTCAGAATGTTCTCATACCTGTGGAACGTTTGCTCAAATAATTAGACAGATAATGGTCCATGATTCTTTCATTTCCACTTTCCTCTTCCTTTCTTTCTCTTTCTACCTCTCCTTCTCACATCTCTTCCTGGGAAAAATCATGCAGTTTGCGTCTGAGAAAGAGGGGGAAGGATTTTTCTTGAATTGGAGACTCCCATCTTCCTTGACCCCGTGTATAATGTCAAACCTCCCACGAGGTGGGAGAAGAGAGGCGGCCATTTTGTGCGTTGCATTCACAATCTCATTCTGGCAATGAAGAAACAAACAGAGATCGACCAAACAGGTCTTCAGATCATCAGGGATTCCTGTGAGGAGAGGCAGTTGAGATGAAGTGATTGTTAGATAGATAGAAGCAGGTTTATGAGCCGAATGGCCTCCTCCAGTTCTCAAGCAGTCTTGTGAAGTGTGCATGAGAAATTATTGGACTGAACACATTGGCGCTTCCTGTTCCTCTACCTTGACTTCTTGTCTTTACATATTAGATGGAAGTTTGGGCTTTGCCGTCTCCACATCTGGGCTAAAAGCCACCGAGCTTTTCCGAGATGAAGCCACCTCTCTGGGCCCTGGTGCTGGGGCTGCTGGTGTAGACAGGTTAGACGTGGAACTGGTAGACAATGGCCTTTGAGATAACAACGTACCAGAGGACATCTGCTGTGGACAAACAGCCTGGCCGGTCGTACTCCCGGAAGGCCTACTGAGGAACGCGGACACAGAAGACGAGGACAATTGGGTGATGTTCCCAGCTGATTTCCTGGCATATTGACTGGGCATTCCCTTGTTGGGCAAGGTCGGCTGAGAGGCAGACATGAGTCTGACGTCTTGTGTGAGTCTCCCGGTCGGAAGTCCTTGAATGCTCTTGTATTTGACGAGCTGTTGAGGAGTGAACAACATCTGCTGTGTTGGGATAGACCCGTGGGAGCCCATCACTTTGGAGAGGCTGTAGTGGAAAGTCTTGCCGGACATTGGGCTCTGGGCTGGGCTGGTCGAGTGGACACTGCCAGGCTGCTGGAGCAGAGTAGCAGAGAGCGACGTGGATTTGGATTGTAGTGTCTGGGGCTTGGATTGGGATTCCTGTGAGGGGCGACGCTGATCGGAGGCCGTTGACTGCAAGCGTTCGGTACCTGATCTCTCGTGTGATGTCTTCTGACCGCTGGCTGGCGGGCCTCTTGGCAACTGGTGGCTTTGCCCAGCACCGCCGGCACCGGAGGAACCTTCAACCATCTGCTGGTTTTGGACCAGAGGGGTGGAGGGCGAGACGGCTAATGGCGTCTGGGCTTGCGACTGTGTTTGCGACTGAGTCCCAGAGGGAGTGCCGATGGACACCGAGACAGAGCTGTGCAGCACAGGACGAGACTTCCTGATCTGCTCGGCACAGAGAGGGCCAGAGAGGGTCGCCGCTGGCAGGAAAATGGCTGTTGGCACGCTGTGTTGGTGGGTGAGAGCGATGGCAACGGAGGTTGTAGCAGCTGCCGTCTGGAGAGGGGCATGAACCAATGGAGCCCAGATAACCGGCTTTGGGTGCATGTTTGTTTGGTGTTCCTGTATACTGTGAGCCATGTCTCGGTCGTGTTTGACTATCTGTTGGATGATCTCATTGTCTCGGTTGTTCAGGGACCCCGAAGGAGATTCGTGCATTCCTTTGCGAAGCAAAATGGAATTTTTCTTTCCTGTAAAAACACACAGAGACGCACAGAGAGATATTAATACCAACAGCGTTCCTCGCATTCGATCCGGCGCCTTATCACCTCATCGAGACGTCTCAAAGCGCTTCGCAGGATGCACTGTAAAGTGTAGCGACTGTGTCTTTTGTCCCACAAGCAGTCGTGGATTGAGTGGCTACATTATTATTATTATTTTTTTTTTAAGGGATTATTACCCCCGGAAAAGTGATCCGCCAATCGACTGCTGGTAAACAGAGCTGTGTGTCTGTGTGTGTGTGGAGTAAGGAAACGTGCCCAAGGTTTCGCCCCGTCCTGTCCCGCCCGGGAATCGAACCCGGGCCCTCTCGCTTGCGAGGCGAGGGGTCTAACCCCTGACAGGACTCCCACGACTGTCGAGTGTGGGGAAGAAGCCTCATCGCTCCGCTGGGAGAGGGTTTGAGTTGTAGACTCACCAATTCGATTGAGACGGTCCATGGCGACAGTCTCGAAGGCTCTTCGCATCATTGGGTATTCCTCTAAGACCTCATTGAAGTGATCGACCGACAGGGAGTAGAGACGACAGTACGTGTCTGCCCGAACGCTGGCCGTCCTCCGGCCACGGGTCAACAGGCAGATCTCTGGGGGGAGGAGAATCAGGTAATAATAATAATAATAATAATAATCCTTGCATTTGATATAGCGCCTCATCACGTCGTTGAGCGGAGGGAACGGACAGGTCTATACGGCCTGGGACGCTATCCCGTGTGAAGGTGCTATAAGTTGTTGTTGTTGTCGTCGTCGTCTCCCTCCCCACCCCCCCTCTCTCTCTCCGTCCCCTTAACTTCCTCTCTCCCTCCATTCGTCTCTCCCTCCCTTCCTCTCCCTCCCTCCTCTCCTCTCCCTCCCTCCCTCCCTCCCTTCCTCTCCCTTCCTTTTTCTTTCCCTCCCTCCCCCTCCGTCCCTCTCCCTTCCTCCCTTCCTCTCCCTCCCTCCGTTCCACTCCCTCCCTCCCTTCCTCTCCCTTCCTCCGTTCCTCTCCCTCCGTTCCACTCCCTCCCTCCCTTCCTCTCCCTCCCTCCCTTCCTCTCCCTCCCTCCCTTCCTCTCCCTCCGTTTCTCTTTCTCTCCCTCCCTCCCTCCCTCCCTCCTTTCCTCTCCTTCCCTCCCTTCCTCTCCCTCCCTCCCTTCCTCTCCCTCCCTCCCTTCCTCTTTCCCTCTCTCCTTCCCTCTCCCTTCCACCGTTCCTCTCCCTCCCTCTCACTCGCCCTCCCTCTCCTTCTCCCTCCCACCCTTCACCCCTTCCTCTCCCTCCCTCCTTTCCTCTCCCTCCTTTCCCTCCCTTCCTCTCTCCTTTCCTCTCTCCCTCCCTCCTCCCCCTCTCTCTCTCCAGGGAGAAACTTACCTCCAAAGTAGGAGCCATCAGACAGCTTGGTCTCCTTGCTGCCTTTGGTGAGGATGCTGACGACGCCATGTTGGATGAAGTACATCTTCTTGCCTACCGTGCCCTCCCTCACTATGTAGTCCGCCGGCTGAAAGACCTCGAATTTCAGCTTGGTCAACACGGCCGTCACAAAGTTGGGGTCCGCATTGGCGAAGAGGGGCATCGTGGCCACGAGATTCCGGCAGTTAAAGTTGACGATCTCCTGCATAGGAACATGGGAACGTAGGAGGCCATTCAGCCCCTCGAGCCTGTTCTGCCATTCTCTTAGATCATTGCACCTCAACTCCAATTACGCCCCATTAACTTTATGTGAGTGTGTGGGTGTGTGGGTCTGTGTCTCTCTCTCGCTCTGACTCTCTACATAGGAACAGGAGGAGGCCATTCAGCCCCTCGAGCCTGTTCCACCATTCTATAAGATCATGGCTGATCTGTACCTCAACTCCAATTACCCGCCTTTGCCCCGTATCCCTTGATAATAATGATAATAATCCTTGCATTTCATTTCGCGCCTTATCACGTCTTCAAGATATCATAAAGTGTAAAGTGTAGTGACTGTATATTTTGTGGGCCAAACGCGGCCGCCAATTGCGCACAGCAGTGTCCCACAAACAGTCGTGGATCGAACGACCAAATTACATATTTTTTGAAAGGGATCATTACGCCCGGAAAGTAGGGAAACTTTGCCTAAGGTTTTTGCCCTGGCCCGCCCCGCCCCGCCCCGCCCCGCCCGGGAACCGAAGCCGGGTCCTCTCGCTCGCGAGGCGAGCGCGATGACCACCACTATGCTCCGGGACTCCACAAGAATTGGTATTACTTCTGGTGAATCTACGCTGCACCCCCCACCCCCCCCAACACCCTCCAGGGCCAATAATACCTCACCTCATTCAGTGGCTCACTCAGTTCGCCCAAAATGTTGTCCTCATCAAACATCTTGCCCTGGAAACGATGCTCGTAATACTCGTGGATCTTCTGTCTCATGTCAGCCGGGAGCTTGTGGAAGGACATATACTGTTCCACTTGTTTGTACTGAGCAGAAAAAGGATAAGGTCAACGTCACGATAACACACTGATACATCGAATGGCTCCTTCCCAGGTCTCAAGACCCTCCTCTTCAAGCGTGCCTTTGGTCACCCTCCCACCCCTCCTCGCCCTCCACCCCTCTTGATCCCAACTCGCCAGCTCGGGTCCAAACCCCTGACTGTCCAGCCCAGCGCCTTGGGACGTCCTCCCGACATGAAAGGTCGCTGTGTGAATAATAATCGGCTTTGTATTGGATGCCGCGAAATGCACGGCTACGTCCCACAAACAGTCGTGGATTGAGTGGCCGCGTTTTTTTTAGGAGGGATTATTACCCCCGGAAAGCGATCCGCCAATAGACTAACAATTGGGTTCCTACTTGTTGCTGATAAACAGAGGTGTGTGTGTGCGTGTGCGTGTGTATGTGTGTGTGTGTGGAGTAAGGAAACTTGCCTATGGTTTCGCCCTGACCTGACCCGCCCGGGAATCGAACCCGGATCCTCTCTCGCGCGAACCGAGCGCGATACCCACTGAGCTACGGGACTCCCAACACTCAACACAGGACTCTGAAAATAGCCACGCCTCCTCGTTGATGGCTCCGCCCCACGGCCACGCCCAGCCCAGCCCAAGCTCCCCCGTGACTGGCTCACCTTCTCCTGGTACTGCCTCCGGGAGGAGTCCAGGGATTGGATGAGCGCTGTGGCGTGTCCGATGAACATGGCGTAACATGTGGCGCCAACGATCATGCTAAGCATGGTGAGCCAGACGTCAGTCATGCCTTTTGGAGCCTGTTGTCCGTAGCCAATACACAGCATGTGGCTCATGGCCTTGAAGAGTGCGTGTGAGTATTGCTTCCCCCAGGAATCGTTCTGTCAAGACAAAGGTTTCACGTCATCGCCCCAGAGATCCTTATTATCATCTTGTCCAACACACAGGCTCCGGTCTGCTCCACATCCCGCCCCGCCCCACCATCAACAGTCGGGCCTTTAGCCTCTCTGCCCTCCATCCTACAGTCCCTCCTCCTCGCCCCCTCGCTTGCCTCCTTCAAGCCCCATCTCAGGACCCTCCTCTTCGACCGCACCTTCGGTCACCCTCCTACCCCTACGCTCCCTGCCCTCCACGCCCCCTGATCCCAACCACCAACTTGGGTCCATATCCAAAGCCTTGGGAGCTCCTCCCAACATGAAAGGCGCTGTGTAAATGTCATTTTTTCCATCCTCTGAACCCCAATCCTCATATCAGCCGGTCTGGCTCATCGGCAGGACCTGGAAGGGCAGACCAGTCACTGGGGGCAGGGAATCCTCCCATCCAGCTCTGCAACACTGCAAGCCAAAGCCCTAATGGGTAGGGTGGTCCAAGCTGGACAAGCAGCGGAAAAGCTGGTCAGACAGCACTCTCAATGGCCAAGCTGTGTGGTTTGAGCTGGTTAGACTCCAGCAGTTACCCCAACGCACACTCTGGGCTTCACCCCCCCCCCTCCCAAGCCTTGGCTTTTGCCAACCTGTGCCTAATACTCTCCGGAATTGGGTAAGCGGGGGGGCGTCCCTCCAGGGGGAGGGAGGGAGAGAGTGCATCCCATTCCGACAACCTACCTCTGGGATTTCCATGTGTCAGTGGGATGTGAGGAATTCTCAGTTTGGTTTGGAGACTCTTAATCAATGGTGATGGCTTTCCGCGTGTGTCAGACACCCGACTGATGGAAAAAACCTGGATATCTGAACCCCAATCTCCACATCTCCTGAACCCCAATACTCAATCACTCTACTCTAATCTCCACCTCATGACTTTCACCCCACCCTATCACCCTGGGACGCGGGTGAGTGCAGTCACGATGGCGGGTGGGGAAAGTTCAAAATGTCGGATGGGGAGAGAAATCAAAATGGCGGAAGGGAATTAGAGGATGGGAAGGAAGGCGGAGGGTCTGGCTCTTACCACCATGCGGTTGATGGACACCCAGCAGTCCTCGGGGAAGTCCTGAAGCATCGGGACCAGGAACTGGAGGCAGCCATCCCAGTGACACAGCAGCAACATCATCCCAATGAGGTTCACAATCCTCACCACCGCGCTCGCCAAGTCATACGTCATGTGAAAGATCTAACCCAATAGGCAACAAGATGGCGTGAGGGGAGTAACATGACCAACCCCCCCACCCCCCACCCCACCACCCCCCCTCACAGTTACCCCCAAATCCCTTCATTCAGTTTCGGGTTCCGCACCTTAGGAAAGATACCTAGGCCTGGAGGGGGTGCAGCGCAGATTCACCAGGGCTTAAAGGGTTAAATTACAAGGACTGATTGCATAAACTTTGCAGGGGCGAAGTTGATGGTAGGTTTGGCCTTCTGAGGGCTCAATCTCGTGTGGCTAAGAGCCAGGAAAGGAGGGGCAGAGAGAGAGGAGATTAACGCAGGGGTGAAATAGATCAAAATGGAGGACGGGGAGCCAGTCGTCCTCTTGAGAAAAGCTGTGGGAAAAAAAGCTGTGAAAAAGATGGTTAGCGATTCCAGAAGCCACATAGAAGGCAACCTGAAGATGGGGAAGGAAGGGGGCAAGGCGGAGGGATTGAGGGAGAGAGTGACAGAGTTTCGGGGCGTAGTGGCTGAAAGCGCGGCCCCTTAATGGTGGAACGGAGGGCACGAGGGACAAGCAGGAGGCCGGAGCCAGCCGAGCAGAGGTAGCAGGTGGTGGAGTGGGGGGGTAAGCAGGTCAGAGAACTAGAGAGGTCCAGGGCTTGAAGGGATTTGTAGATGAGTGAGGATCTTGAAATCGATCCGTTCAGTGATAAGGAGCCAGTGGAGCTTGACGAGGACTGGGGTGATGGGGGGGACGGAGGGAGGAGAGAGAGAGAGACAACCCCTCACCTCCTCCCATTGGTGGATGTATCTGATGAGGCGAGAGAGACGGAGTAAGCGCAGGAGGCTAAGGATTTTAGCGAATCGTACGATCCTCAAAGCACGGGCTGTCTTGTAAACGTCGGAATCCACTCGCGTCTCCAGGTCCACGATGAGAAAGATATAATCAACAGGGATGGAGGACACAAAGTCAACTAGGAACCAACTCTTGAGATATTTCATCTTGATGGTGTGAGGATCCAGGATAATCTCTGTGTTGTCCTCAACCACAATCCCTGTCCTGAAGTTTAAGACCAGGTCGATGAGGAAGAACGTGTCTGACATGACATTGAACACAATCCAGGGTGGAGTATTCTCATCCTTAAAGAACGTGATTCCCACTGGAAGAATGATTAAGTTCCCGACCATGAGCAGTAGCATAGCGAGGTCCCAGTAAAACCTGCCGAAGAAATCCCAATATTTATTGACGACCTGCTCGCCATTTTGATTTTACTCCCCGTCTACCATTTTGACCTATTTCTCTCGCACCGACCTGTCCACTCCCTCGGCTCAGCAGGCTCCGGCCCGCTCCTCGTCCCCTGCCTGTCCCAGCCCAGCCCAGCCCGCTCCACCATCGGCAGTCGGGCCTTCAGCCTCTCTGCCCCCGTTCTCTGGAACTCCATCCCGCAGTCCCTCTGCCTTGCTCCCTCACTTGGCTCCATCAAGGTCCATCTCAAGACCCTCCTCTTCGACCAACCGTGCCTTTGGTCACTCTCCTACCCGCACCCTCCCCGCCCTCCACCCCCTCCTGATCCCAACCCCCAGCTCGGGTCCAAATCCCTGACTGTCCAGCGCCTTGGGACGTCCTCCTGACGTGACAGGCGCTGGGTCTACGTCATTTGTTGTTGTGGTTGTTGTGTTCAACCCTTCTCCCCTTTTCTCCACCTCCCTATTCTCTGCACCGCTCAAATCCCTTTACCTCCCTGTCCATCATCCCTTCATCCCCTAAGCCTCAAGTTGACCCATATCCCTTTCTTCTCCTCCTCCTTGTCCTCACATCTTCCTCCCATTCTACGTTGACTATTGGACGCAGGTTTGACTGGAATTGAGCTGTGCTGCTGTTAAATCGAACCCTGAGGTTAGCCGCCAACCACGAGAGTGTGGGACGCTGACCAAGTAGGTAGGTCACTTGGTAATAAAGTGATTCCCTTGGAAGATCCTCAATGGATAAGGCCTCAGCTTCCTCTCCCCTCCCGTTCTCGAAGTGGACCACTCCACCAATGGCAGACGCCCCTCTTCCGTTAGCCGTGAGCTTTTTATCACATCACCGCTCGGAAGGGTCCACTCGAATGCCGATGGGGGGGGGAAATCGCTGCTCAGGCATCCATTGGGGCTTCCTTTGACCACCCAAAATCGCTGCCCATTCTTTTTTACCCAGAGACCTACTCGTTGCACTTTACCGGTCAGCACTCCTCCACCCTCGCGTCCAGCGCAGGATTCACTTTAAACCATTCTTTCGAAAACCCCGCAAGAATTGTGGAGTCCTGGAGCTCAGTGGTTATCGCGCTCGCCTCGCGAGCGAGAGGGGCCCGGGTTCGATTCCCAGGCGGGTCAGGTCAGGGCGAAACCTTACTCCACACGCACACGCGCGCACACACACACACACGCCTCTGTTTACCAGTCGTAAGTAGGAACCCACTTGTTAGTCGATTGGGGGATCACTTTCCGGAGGTAATAATCCTTTCAAAATAATAATAATAAATTGGTCACTTCAATCCACGGCTCTCTGTGGGATATCACTGTGCGCAATTGGCTGCCACGTTTCGCCCCCAAAATACACAGTCACTTCATTTTACAGTATATACTGTGAAGCGCTTTGAGATGTCTCGACGACGTGATAAAGCGCTGTATCAAATGGAAGGATTAGTTTTATAGTTCCACCGTTTGATTGGAATGCGCCTGATCTTTTAATCCCATTAAATGACCCCCTTTTCCTTCTCAAATATCCACCCATTTCCCTTTTAGATATTCCTCTCTCTCCTGGACACGCACTGACGTTTCCCTTCTGACATTGCTCTGTTGGATCAAGATTATCAGCAAATAAAGAGAGAGAAAGAGAGAGCGTTAGTACACATAGACATTACGCACATCTAGACACACACACACACAGACACAGACACAGACAGACGCACACACACACACACACACAGACACAGTCAGACGCGCACACAGGTTAGGACATACAGACACACACAACGTCGGATTAGGATACATAGTGGAGCCACGAAGCTTAGTGGTTAGAGTGCACGCCTCACAAGCGAGAGGACACCGAGGTTCGATTCCTGTGTGGGTCAGGTCAGGGAGAAACCTTAGGTAAGTTTCCTGACGTGCCTAAGGTTTCGCAAGTAAACTGACTGAGGCAAGTTTCCTTACTCCCCCCCCCCCCACACACACACACACACACACGCCTGTTTACCAGCAGTGAGTAGGAACCCGCTTGTTGGTTGATTGGCGGATCGCTTTCCGGGGGTAATAATCTCTCCCCCCCAAAAAAATGTAGTCACTCAATCCACGACTGTTTGCGGGAAGCCTCTGGGTGCAATTGGCTGCCGTGTTTCACCCACAACATATCCGGTCACTCCACTTTGCATTGTGACCCTGTGAAGCGCTTTGAGACGTCTCGATGACACGATAAAACGCGATGTCAAACGCGAGGATTATTATTGTTACAGCGGGTGAGAGGGAGAGAGGGGGCGAGAGGGAAGGAGACAGAGAGAGAGAGACAGAGACAGAGACAGAGAGGGCAAGAGAGCGACGGAGAGAGAGAGAGAGATAGAGCGAGAGAGAGAGCAAACAAGTGCACATGGGAGAAATGTTCAGGTTAGCTGAGGCTCAAAGATAATTATTGAGGCATTTAGTTTGACCGATTTGGGATCGCACGTGATCGGAGTGCCAGTTTATGGATTGGTTCGGCCACTTGCTCAATCGCTGTTGTTATAAAAGTAGTTTGCCTTGTCATCACGCGATAGGTTATGCAGTTTAGTGCCATCTGCAGATCAAGTGGTTTCATAACATGGACACCAACATATGGTCCATCGTTTCGTCGCGTCTCACCTTAGCTTTGTGGAGTCCTGTAGCTCAGTGGCTATATAAATGTCATTGTGTTGTTGTTGTTGTGGCTCGAGCGCTCACCTTGCCCCCTTACTCCACACACACACGCACACGCACACACACACACACACGCGCACACACACGCGCACACACACACACGCACACACACACACGCACGCCTCTCTTTACCAGCAGTACGTCGGAACCCACTTGTTAGTCGATTGGGGATATGGCTTTCCCGGGGGTAGTAACCCCCCACCCCCCCCTCCCCCCACACAAATAATAATAATAATTTGGTCACTCAATCCACGACTGCTGTGTGCGTTCCGCCCGCAAAATGCGCAGTCACTTCACGGTATATCCCGCGAAGCGCCTCGAGATGTCTCGACGACGTGTTAAGGCGTTGTATCGAATGCAAGGATGGTTATTATTATTATTAATATTATTACAGGAAGCGCCGCTCGCAAATCAAAGAGGAACAAATGGGGGTTTGATATCAATTGATTTGCCCCCTCCCCAACCCTCGCCACACACCAATATTGAAGGGAAAATTCCCTTTGCCTCCGACCGATCCGTCTTCCATCTTAAGTGGATCTCGGAGACACTCATCCCTCACACACACACACAGTTGGGTATAAGGGCATCAAATACTTCCCCCCCACCATCCCACCCCCAAATTCCTTTGTACCTGAAATCGCTGTAAGGGTGAATGATCCAAAATCCTGCAGATTTAACCCTCTCCTGCTCGATTTCTACTGCTTTGTGACTGCCAAACATGCGTAGGGAGAATTTATTGACTCCAGGTTGCAACAGAGCACTGAATTGCCTTTGCAAAAAGCTCTGGTTGTAGTGGCGATTGTCGTTGTCATCGCTGGTGATCTGATCAGAGGACATCTGAGCTTTCTGCAGGAAGACGACAGATTTTTGGGGCGGGGGGGAGGTGAAAGAATCATTTGGACTCGATCCTGTTAGTGTCTTGCGACTCCCAACCTCTCCATCTCTTTTGCCAGGTTTGTCCTGAGCATTGCCATCAGCATCAACCATCAGCTGTTGGCCCTCCATCTCACAGTCTTGAATGCTCCTCTTGGCCAAGGAAGACACGCTCCCTTTCTGCATCCTCTTCCCATCTTTGGAGGTCCTCAGGCGAGTTTTTCCACGATCCGTAGAGTCCACGCTGTTCTGGCTCGACTCCATTTCCACCTCCCGCAAAAAAAACAACAAAACCCCCACCCCCCCCAGACGTTAGGGGGAAAAAGAAAGAACTTCTCAATCTCCTCCTCGAGCCTTTCTCTGACTCACTCAGTCACACCGTAGCCAGTGATGGTGGGATGTCTCCATCCCTGGTACCCACGCCATCAACTACACGCACGTCCACAAGCAGCTGAAAGAGGATGGATGGGGAGGAAGGGGGAAGTAGAGAGATGTCAGATGCAACACCTGGGAGACTTGCCAGGAAGTGCAATATCACGACAAAATCTCTTCCTATGTCGTATTCTCTGGGATCAAGACCTCAGCTCCGCTTAAGAGAGAGATCTTTGAGCCTGAAGTCGGTTCCTGTCTCATGTGAAGGTGAGGACCAGTGATGCAAAGCTTCATGACAAGGCAAAGGGATGTGTGATGCCCTCAGATGGAGTCCTACTGCTCACATCTGCTCAAACAGGTGGAAGGGATGGGAGGAGACCCACAAATAGAAGGAAGTTCACAGCCAATCCATCCCTCCATCCTCCTGAAATAACAGCTTCTTGTGATTATCATTTGAGGTGGGAATATGAATCCATTCCATGTGATTCGAATCTCTTAAATGCTGTGGAATTTATTCCGTGTTACTGTATGAAATTGCTGTGTGTGACGTTGAAATGTATTATTTTACTGCACGTATTTGGGATTATTATGACATAAAGCCCACATTTCGGTGAAATAAATCGATTTTAAATTGGATTGCAATAGACGGTTTACTCACTATTTATCCATGTATAAATCTGTTTCGTCAAATGTCGAATATTTGTGGATACAAGTGTATGGATATTCATGAAATAGAATGTTAAATAGAAATATATTTTATTTAAAAATGATGGGAATATCCCCGTCGCCCCCTGGTGGCAGTTTGTAGATATTTAGGTGGGGGGAAATGTTAAATATAATGATCTAATATAAATCTATCGATATAAGTAGCTGCATTTATATATTGCATTTAAATGTATAAATGTATAGCAATGAAATAATATAGGATTAGTATAAAATAGAAATAATGGGAATAGCTCTGTCGCCCTCTGGCGTCGGTTTCTAGATAAATATTAAATATTATATTTAATAATACAATATAAGAATATAATTTAATATTTCCTTACTCCACACACACACACACACACACACACACAAACGCCTCTGTTTACCTCGCAGTAAGTAGTTTGTTCGTAGATTGGCGGATCACTTTTCCGGAGGTAATAATTCCTTCAAACAAAATTGGTCACTCAATCCACGAGTGTTTTGTGGGACACTTCTGTGCGCAATTGGATGCTGCGTTTCACCCACAAAACATACAGTCACTACACATTACAGCGTTTCCTGTGACGTGCTTTGAGATGCGTCGAAGATGTGATGAGGCGCTGTGTCAAATGTATTATTATTATTGTTATCAGATCTGAAAGCTTCTCTGGACAAGTTGGCTTCGGAGGTGAAGAGGTTTGAAGAGAACATCAGGAAGGTCACCGAGTATCAGGATTCCCTCCTCCGGGTCAACAAGCTGATGGTAAAGAGTGTTGCGCGAGGGAGGAGAGTGCAGGCTGACGTACAATGCAATACAAAATTACATTTGTATTAGCGCCTTTCACGTCAGGAGGACGTCCCAAAGCACTGGACAGTCAGGGATTTGGTCCCCAGCTGGGGGTTGGGATCAGGAGGGGTGGAGGGCAGGAAGGATAGGTGTAGGAGGGTAACCAAAGGCACGGTTGAAGAGGAGGATCTTCAGAGTAAGAGAGGGAGTGAGGTGAAGCGACTGGGATGGAGCTACATAGGGTGGGGGCAGTGAGGCTGACGGCCCGATCCGCTGTTGGTGAGGTGGGCCAGGCGGGTGACGTGAAGCAGGCCGGAGCCCGCTGAGCAGAGGGAGCGGACAGGTTGCTATGGGGTCAGCAGGTTGCAGAGGTAGAGAGGAGCAAGGCCATGGAGGGCCTTGAAGGCGAGGACGAGGATTTTGAACTGTATCCTCTGGGGGATGGGGAGCCAGGCGAGGGTGGGGGTGATGGGGATCATGGAGCCTGTTGCGGGAGAGGACGTGAGCTGCTGTCTGGATGTCACGCTGTATCAAATGCAAGGATTAGTATTTTATTATCAAAGATCTACTGAAAACCAATTTCTCTCTCCCGGTGTCCTGGGCAACGGGTAAAATCTCTTGATCACTTTGCGGTTGGTTGCGGGGACGTCGCTGTGCTCAAATCGACTGCGGAGTTTGCCCACCAAACGCACAGTCACTACGCTTTACAGTGTGTCCCGGGCAGCGCTTTGAGACGTCTCGAGCACGTGATCAGGCGCCGGGTCACACGCCGGGATTATCATCATCATTATTATGACTGACCGAACCGTGTCCCGCTTTCTACTCTCAACCCGTTGCTTTCTCTGCGCTGTATGTGTAAATGTAGTGACTGTGTGTTTTGCAGGTGAACAAAGCGGCCAATGATGAGATGAACCATCTCTCTGGGAGGGGTTGCGTTGGGGCTCGAACCCCAATCTGCCGCCTGAGGTCAGCTGACCCGCCCCTAAACGAGCGCCTCTTGAAGCGTGCGTGCCGTGCGTACCGTGCGTGTCGCGTCACCAGCGGGGTTACGGATTGCGTATAACATCACCCGCTGCGCATTACGTTATCTGCGTGTGACGTCACGGACGCGCGGGGAAAGGAAAGTGGCCGCCACGGATTTCTTGTGGGACAAGCGCACGGGCCTGGCGGCGAAAACGGTAACCGGGGGTGAGGCGCGGGCGGCGTGAGGCGAGGGAGTGGAGCCGCGCGGCCGCGCGCGGGGACGAGGGTGGAGCGGGAGCCGGTTTTAATATTGTTTTGTGGTTAAAATCTTGAGGGGACAAGATGGCGCCGGGGGCGGAGCGGCCGCAAAATGGCTGCGTTTCTTTCTCCCTCGCCGCCCGGCCTAGGAGCGAGGGAGAGCGGGGTGCGGCGGGAGATGCGGCCGAGGGGCGCGGGCGTGCGTGCGTGCGGGTCGGTAAGTCAGTAACCGGCGGCGGCTGTCCTCCCGCGCGGAGTTCGGTGCTGCGCATGCGTGGCCGCAAGGACCGGTGGGAGGTGCGGGGAGGATGGAGTTGTCACGTGATCCAGGGAGCGGTGCTGGTCACGTGATGCCTGGTCCAGGCTCTATGTGGTGAGGTCTATAATCCTTGCACTTGATATCACGTCGTCGAGACGTCTCAAAGCGCTTCTTGGAGTATACTGTAAAGTGAATTGACTGTATGTTTTGTGGGCGAAACGCGGCAGCCGATTGTACACAGCAGCGTCCCCACAAGCAGTCGTGCACTGAGTGACCAATTTATTCTTATTCATTAATTTATTGGGAAGGGATTGACGATGTGTCTTGTGATTCCGAAGGGACGAGATAATGATCAGCTCTTTTATCTTGCACTGACGCGCTCTGGGCCGCTACCCTGTGTGAGGGGCGCTTTGAGACGTCTCGAAGACGTGATAAGGCGCTGTATCAAATGCAAGTATTATTATTATTATAAATGCAAGTTGTTGTTGAGCAATAGAACCAGAGGACACGGCCTGCGATTGAAGGGGGGCAAATTCAGAACAAATCTCTGGAAACACTACTTCAGTGAGCGAGTAGGAAGATGCTCAAGCAGAACGTGTTGTTTGTTTCAAGAACAAATGAGATCCATTTCTTTTAGGAAATAATATCTTAGGATACAGTAATAATAATAATAATACAACTTGCACATCGCCGCTCACTCAGGGTAGCGTCCCAGAGCACTTGACAGTGGCAGAGCCCGACGGCAAGCCAGGGTGAGGTGACCGTATCCTTGCATTTGATATAGCGCGTTATCACGTCTTCGTATAGTTTAGGACACAAAATGTGCAAGTGATTGCCAGGGTGGTGGAAGGCGAACTGGGTGGACCTTGGTCCTTTTTCACCTGATGGCGTTGGCCTTCTTGTGATGATGTTTGTTTGTCTTGTGTCTCCGAAGATGCCTCGCTTGAGGCGATACCGTTCGTCAGACCGGGAGAGCCGGGACAGTCATGACCGTTACCGGAGGAGCCGGAGAGGAAGGAGGCGGTGTCGGTGTCGGTCACGATCCCGGTCGAGAAGCAGTGATAGACGACACAGAAACCAAAGTTACCATCTGATGTCCAGAAGGTTTGTCATCTCTCTCCCCTTCTTTAAGATACTCTACTCCTTGCATTTGATATAGCGTCTTATTGCGTCTTGAGACGTCTCAAAGTGCTTCACAGGATATACTGTAAAGTGGAGTGACTGTAGTTTGCGGTAACCAATTGCACACAGTGATGTCCCACAAACAGTCATGGATTGAGTGTCCATATTATTAGTTTTTATTTTATTATTTTGGGAGGGATTTTTACTCCCGGAAGGCGATCCACAAATTGACTAACACCCGGATTCCTACTTACTGCTAGATAAACAGAGGCTTGTGGAGTAAAGAAAGTTGCCTACGGTTTCACCCTGTCCTGCCCGAGAATCGAACCCAAGTCCTCTTGCTTGCGAGGCGAGTACTCTAACCACTGAGCTCCAGGACTCCACACTCTAGATTCAGACACACATAAAAAGATACACACAGATGTGCAACATCTTCCGTAACATGGGTGGACTGATTGAGGGGGCGAAATGCGTTTTTGACAGCTTGTTTCAGCTCTGTAATAGTAATAATATAATAATCCTTGGTTTCAATACAGCTCTTTATCATGTCTTCGAGACTTGTCAAAGCACTTCACAGGATACTCTTAAAGTGTAGTGACTGTGTGTTTTGTAGGCGAAACTCTTATATGACTGTTTTATAACAGAAACAACTACTGCTTGCATGCGACGTTTGACTACCGACGCTCGGAGGATCGGGGGATCAGCTACAGGAGTCGGAAGAGCAGCAGACGTAAGCACAAACGGCGACGGCACAGAAGCAGGTCAAATAGTCCCTCGTCTTCGGTGAGTACTATTAACCCTCTGTTAGCGTAGCACATGTGTTTTTTTTTGCAGGCCACATGATTTGGGTAAGTCCCCTCTCTTTATTCCTTGTGTTGCTTTTGGTTCTTTATGTCTATATGAACTATTAACAGTGGAACACTTGCACACAGTGAGCCCTCCTTGCCTTGTTTATTCTTTCTCTCTCTCCCTCTATCCCTCCGCCTCGCCACTCCTTCCTTCCCCATCTTCAGGTCGAACCTGAGGACCTACCCCTTTGACCGTGCCTCAGGCTCCGCCACTGTCAAGTGCTCTGGGACGCTACCCTACGTGAGGGACGCTGTGTAAATGCAAGTTGTTGTTGTTATTCCCCATGCTGTTCCTGTTGCCATCACCCAACTCGCCCGAACTGCATAGGCCTCATTTGTGGCTGGCTCGTTGCTCTTCCATAGAATCGTGTGGATTCGCCTTTTGCCCACAAAATATGCAGTCAATTCACTCTCGTCTCGAAGACAGACGTCTCGAAGCCATGATAACAATAATAATAATTCTTGCATTTGAAATGGCGCTTTTCACGTCTTCTCGACGTCTCAAAGCGCTTCACAGAAGAGGCTGTAAAGTGAATTGACTGTATATTTGTGGGCGAACGCGGCAGCCAATTGGCACAGCAATGTCCCACGAACAGTCGTGGATTGAAAATGACCAATTTATTATTGTTTTTAGTTTTGGAGGGATTATTATTGGGGCTGTGTGTGGAGTAAGGAAACTTGCCCAAGGTTTCGCCCTCTGCCTGGAATTGAACTCAGGTTTCTCGCTTGCAAGGCGAGTGCTCTAACCACTGAGCTACAGAACTCCACACACTATATCAAATACAAGGATTATTATTATAACCAATCTGTGAGCCTCTGTACACTGTCGGTGTAAAGCAGTTTGTCCTGTGCTGATGATAGTCTCTCTTTAGTCAGTTGTCGGCGGGAGGGGGGTGGGGGGGAGGAGTACAGGGAGGAAGATGCAGAATGAGGCCAATCAGGCCTACGTGACTCAGCCAGCTCCCCTTAGTTACCTACTCTAAAGTGTAGTGACTGTATATTTTGTGGGCTTTCTAATATTCTATTAAAGCAACCCCTTTTTTTCTTTGCCTTTCTCCATATGTTTATTTTCAAAATACTTTGAGAGAGAGGAAGAGAAAACGTCTTAATAGTCGTGCTGCAAGTGCCTTTCTGATAGGTTGAAGGGGCATGTGTGAAAGGGCAAGGGTGTTAAATTAGCAGCTTCAAGCAGAGTCCTGGGTAGTGTGTGTATTGGAGCTTCTGCCGTTCACAGGGTTTAAAGTAATGTAATGTATTTTTTGGCAAGCTTTCCTGCTGTTTGTCCAGCTAGGACCACCAACAACAACAACTTGCATTTCTATAGCGTCCTTCACGCAGGGTAGTGTCCCGGAGCGCTTCACCCTACCCGTTACGGCTTTGGCTTGCAGGGTTAACAGGAGCTGAGTGGGAGGATTCCCTGCCCCCAGTTACTGGTCGGCCCTTCCAGGTCCTGCCGATGAGCCAGGCCGGGCTGTGTGGTCATCAGCAGTGAGTGCCCTGGAATACTGCGGACCCTCCTGGCTCAGAAACCGGACTAGAGACTGTCACGGATGGTTGCCTCGATTCCGAGAATCCATTGCCAAACGTGTCACCTTGTGGCCAGTTCAGGTCCAAGGAGACCCCCCAACCCCCCCACCACGGAAGATAGTCAAAGTAATGTATAGATAGATCATTAACATGACTGAACAGACGGTTTGAGGTGATATTAAAGATTTCATCGCTAGACCAGGTCCCTGACAAACACAATTTTAACAGTGGCTTAGGAATGGCACAGGAGCTTGGTGATTTACCCTGGCTCAGCCGTGTGTCGTGTGAAATAGTACGGCACGTCTCGGAACGGAAACCTTTTCCTCCGTCTTAGGTGCCATGAGCAGTATTGGTGGCATTTTATTCTGCTGAATCGGCCATCTATTTTCTTCCCATCCCCTCCCTTCCCCTCGCCAAATAGTTGTCACTGCACCCCACATTGTGGGGTGAGCTGGAGAACCAGAGGTTAATTTTGATCATTCTCAAATGTATTTGTGGTAAAGCGGAAACCTGGGTGAGGGGTGGGCGGGCGGGCGTTGTAATTCAATCTTGCTGATTGTACGGGTTGGAGTGGGGAGGTTTTAGCTGGGGTGTGTACTGTTTATTATTTTTTATTCTTTTCTAAGTTAGTGCTGTGTATCTTGACATGTTCCCTTGCAATATCCCTATCGTTATATATCCTATGTGGGCGCATGAATTGCCTGGAATCTTGACTATCTGGCAATCGACCACTCCATCGCTGCCCCCCTCCTGCTCGACAATGCGAACACAAATCGCAAACAACCATCCAATGTGGCTGCTGGTTTGAAACAAATGTGTCTCTCCATTTGACTTGGATGATGATTGGATGGTTTTGACGGGCGCCCCTGTGTGTGTGGCTGGCACCGCCCTGGCATCGGGATTCTGCCTACGCAGCGAAGCCGACACAACACCAGACGGCCTAAGAATGCGGAAGATGACAACGAGGGGCATCTGATCTATCGAAACGGCGGCTGGCTCCAAGAACGATGTACAAGCCTTAATCGTAACTTCATTTAGCTCTCTAGTTAAGATTCCAACAAACGTTGGCAACCTCATTGTTGTTTCTTTTTGAAAATTCCCTTCCTCCTGCTGTGTTTTATTTGTCTCGACTTATTATAATTTAGCCTAAATTGCAGGACAGATATTGTATGGAAAGCTTTTTTTCTCAGCAGATGGTCTCACCCACTTTCTGCTTCAAAAGACCTGTGTATTGACAAAAGTGAACGCTGTGTAAACGAGACTTAGGCTTTGTAAAAAATTATCTTCCAGCTGTCGTTGTTTTGAGCTAAACCGATCCCTTTTTGTTCCAGAGGGGGGAAATGTCTCATTTTCTCTCCTTTCTCTCTCTCTCTCTCTCTCTCCTCGCTAGATGAAATTACTAGCACGTTAGGTGAAGGGACCTTTGGCAAAGTGGTTCAGTGTATCGACCATCGAAGGTACCTCGATTACAAAGATTTCCGCGCTGGGCTTTCACGCGGGAGGGAGGGGGCGGGTGTTTTGTAGGCAGACGCGGCAGCTAGTTTACGCACAGCAGTGTACCGGATATACATTGCTGTGCGTAAACTGGCTGCCGTGTCTGGCTGCCAAGCGTCTGGGGCGCTATCCTATGTGAGGGACGATATATAAATGCATGTTGTGTGTGGTTGTGGGTACTGTACGTGTGTGTCTGAAGTATATTTCCATAGAGTGCCTATAGTGTATATTATATATACTATACATAATACAAATTATGGAGACCCATCACCATGCTTAAGAGTATCCAAACCAAACTGTGTGTGTGTCTGAATCTAGAGTGTGGAGTCCTGTAGCTCAGTGGTTAGAGCGCTCGCCTCGCTAGCAAGAAGACCTGGGTTCAATTCCCGGGCGGGGCAAAACATTAGGCAAGTTTCCTTACTCCAAACACCTCTGTTTGCGGGATACTGCTGTGCGCAATTGGCTGCCACGTTTCGTCCACAAAATATACAGTCAATTCACTTCAGTGTATCCTGTGAAGCACTTTGGGACGTCTCAAAGACGCGTTAAGGCACTGTATCAAATGTAAGGATTATTATTGCTGATGGGTGATGATCTCCACTGTTTCCCTCACAGGGGTGGTTTGCGAGTGGCTCTCAAGATAATTAAGAATGTGGAGAAATACCGGGAAGCTGCATGGTTGGAAATCAATGTCTTAGAGAAAATCAATGAGAAAGACCCGGATAATAAATTGTGAGTAAAATTCGCTGCTTCTACGTCTGACTGAACAACAACAACTTACGTTCACGCAGTGCCCCTCAAGCAGGGTAGGGATACTGCTGGGCAGTGGCGGAGCACGATACTGGGCTGGTGGGAGGGGAGAGGTGACCGTAGGCATGGTTGGAAGACGAATGCCTTCAGGCGTGACCTGAAGGTGGGTAAGGAAGGGACAAGGCGGAGGGATTGAGGGAGAGAGTTTTGGGGCGTAGAGGCTGAAAACGCGGCCACCAATGGTGGAGCGGAGGGCACGAGGGACAAGCAGGAGGCCGGAGCCAGCCGAGCGGGGGTAGCGGGTTGGGGAGGAAGACCCTCTCGTGTTAAGGAAAGTCTCTCTCTTTCCCGAGAACTGTTCCCATAATCGGCTGTGCTCTGTGTAACGAAAATCTGTTCTCTCTTTCAGTCATTGCGTTCAGATGTACGACTGGTTTGATTACCACGGACATATTTGCATATCGTTTGAGCTACTTGGGCAGAGCACCTTCGATTTTCTGAAGGATAACAATTACGTCCCCTACCCCATTCATCAGGTCAAACACATGGCTTACCAGACCTGCCATGCCGTGAACTGTGAGTACTGTGACCATAGCTTTACACATGCTATAAGCACCCAAAGGCACATAGCTTGCCATTGAGAGCGCTGTCTGGCAAGCTTTCCCACTGTTTGGCCAGCTCGGACCACTACCTGTTAGTTAGGGCTTCGATTGCAGGGTTAAGAAGAGCGGGAGTATTCCCTGCCCCAGTGACTGGTTTCCCCTTCCAGGTCCTGCCGATGAGCCGGGCTGTGCTGTCCTCAGCAGTGCCCTGGAATAATGTGGACCCGTCTGGCTCAAGAACCAGGCGAGAGACCGTCACAGAGGGCTGGCTCCATTCCCACACTTCATTGCCAACCATGTCACCTTGGGGCCAGTTCAGCTCCAAAATGCATCTACTCTGTTGACCAGTCCTGTTGTCAGGTACAGCCTGAGCCCCCGGTAACTGCCCCCTGATTGTCCTGTTGCCGGGCAGATTCTGAGTCTCTGTCTCCTGATTGGCCAGTCCTGCTATCACCTAAAATCTGAGCCCCCCCCCCAGCCAGTAACTGTCTCCTGATTGTCCTGTTGCCGGGCGGATTCTGAGTCTCTGTCTTCTGATTGGCCAGTTCTGTTGTCAGCTAGAGTATGACCGGGCGGGGTGGGGGGGGGTAACTCTCCTGATTGGCAATGTTCTGCTGTCCGCTGAAGTCTGAGCCCCCCCCCCTTCCCGGTAACTGCCCCCTGATTGTCCTGTTGCCGGGCAGATTCTGAGTCTCTGTCTCCTGATTAGCCAGTCCTGTTGTCAGCTAAAGTCTGAACATCCTCCCCCCACTCAGTAACTGTCTCCTGATTGTCCTGTTGCCGGGCGGATTCTGAGCATCTGTCTTCTGATTGGTTGGTCTTGTTGTCAGCCAGAGAATGAGCCCCCGGTAACTGTCTCCGGATTGGCCAAACCTGTTGTCTGCTAGCATATGACTCAACGTGGTGGGTGGAGTAACTGTCTGGTGATTGGCCAGTCCTGTTGTCAGTCACAGCCCCCGTGGCTGTCTCCTGATTGGCAATGTTCTGTCAATTAAAGTCTGAGCCCTCCCCCCCCCCCCCCCCCCCTCCATTCCCGGTAGCTGCCCCGATTGTCCTGTTGCCGGGCGGATTCTGAGTCTCTGTCTTCTGATTGGCGAGTTCTGTTATCAGCTAGAGTACGACCGTGAGGGGTGCAGGGTGGGGGGCTTAACTGTCTCCTGAATGGCAATGTTCCGCTGTCAACTAAAGTCTGAGCCCCCCCCCACCCCCAGTAACTGCCCCCTGATTGTCCTGTTGCCGGGCAGATTCTGAGTCCCTGTCTCCTGATTGGCCAGTCCTGTTGTCAGCTAGAGTCTGAGCCCCGCCCCCCACCCACCCAGTAACTGTCTCCCGATTGTCCTGTTGCTGGGCAGATTCTGAGTCTCTGTGTCCTGATTAGCCAGCCCTGTTACCGGGCAGATTCTGAGTCTCTGTCTTCTGATTGGCCAAACCTGTTGTCAGCTAGAGTATGGCTGGGCGTGGTGGGTGGCGTAACTGTCTCCTGATTGGCAATGTTCTGCTGTCAGCTAGAGTAGGAGCCCCCCACCCCCTTCCGTAACTGTTTCCTGATTGTCTGTTGCCGGGCAGATTCTGAATCTCTGTCTTCTGATTAGCCGGCCCTGTTGCCGGGCAGATTCTGAGTCTCTGTCTTCTGATTGGCCAGTCTTGTTGTCAGTCACAGCCTTGGCCCCAGTGACTGTCTCCTGATTACCCAGTCCTGTTGTCAGCTAGAGTATGACCAGGTGAGTGGGGGGTAACTGTCTCCTGATTGGCCAGTCCTCTTGTCAGTCACAGCCCCGGTCCTGGTGACTATCTCCTGATTGGTAATGTTCTGCTGTCAATTAAAGTCTGAGGCCCCCCCCCATTCCCGGTAACTGCCCCTGATTGTCTCGTTGCTGGGCAGATTATGAGTCTCTGTCTCCTGATTGGCCAGTCCTGTTAGTGGGCGGATTCTGAGACTGTCTCCTGATTGGCCAGTCCTGTTAGCTAAAGTCTGAGCCCTCCGCCCGCCCAGTAACTGTCTCCTGATTGTCCTGTTGCCGGGCGGATTCTGCGCCTCTATGTCTTCTGATTGGCCAGTTCTGTTGTCAGTTGGCGTACGAACAGGGGGGGTGCAGGGTGGGGGGGGGCGTAACTGTCTCCTGATTTCTCCCCCCCCCAACTGGTAACTGTCTCCTGACTGTCCTGTTGCCGGGCAGATTCTGAGTCTCTGTCTTCTGATTGGCCCGACCAGTTATCAGGCGATGCCTGAGCCCCCGTCAACTGTCTCCTGATTGGCAATGTTCTGCTGACAGCTAGAGTAGGAGACCCCCACCCCTTTCCCGGTAACTGTTTCCTGATTGTCTGTTGCCGGGCAGATTCTGAATCTCTCCTGATTGGCCAGTCTTGTTGTCAGTCACAGCCTGGGCCCCAGTGACTGTCTCCTGATCACCCAGTCCTGTTGCCGGGCAGATTCTGAGTGTCTGTCTCCTAATTGGCGAGTTCTGTTGTCAGGTATAGCATTTGCCCCACCACCCCGCCCCCCACTGCCACCCCGATTGTCCTATTGCTGGGCAGATTCTGAGTCTCTGTCTCCTCATTGGCTAGTCCTGTTGTCAATCACAGCTTGGGTCCTGGTGCTTGTCTTCTGATTGGCCAGTCCTGTTGTCAGTCACAGCCTGGGTCCTGATTGGCCAGTCCTATTGTCGGTCACAGCCTGTCCTGGTGACAGTCTTCTGATTGGCCAGTCCAGTTGCCGGGCAGATTCTGCGTCTCTGTCTCCTGATTGGCCAGTCCTGTTGTCAGTCACAGCCTGGTGCTCGTCATCTGATTGACCAGACCTGTTGTCAGCTGGAGTCGGAAGCTCCAGTAACTGTGTCCTGATATGCCAGTCCTGTTGTCAACTGGAGTAGGAACCCCCGGTAACTGTGTCCTGATTGGCCAGTCCTGTTGTCAGCTAGAGTAGGAGTCCCTGGTAACTGTCTCCTGATTGGCCAGTCCTGTTGTCAGGTAGAGTAGGAACCCACGGTAACTGTCTACTGATTGGCCAGTCCTGTTGTCAGCTAGAGTAGGAACCCCCGGTAACTCCAGGCAGGGCGAAACCTTGGGCAAGTTTCCTTACTCCACACAGAGCCTAATAATAATCCCTCCAAAACCAAAAACAATAATAAATTGGTCATTTTCAATCTACGACTATTTGTGGGACATTGCTGTGCGCAATTGGCTGCCGCGTTCGCCCACAAATATACAATCAATTCACTTTACAGTGTGTTCTGTGAAGCGCTTTGGGACGTCCTCCCGACGTGAACAGCGCTATATCAAATGCAAGGATTATTATTATAACTGTCTCCTGATTGGCCAGTTTTGTTATCAGCTAGAATAGGAACCCCCCCGTAACTGTCTCCTGATTGGTCATGTTCTGCTGTCAACTAAAATCTGAGCTCTCACCCCTCCTGGTAACTGTCTCCTGATTTGCCAGTCCTGGGGAATGTCTCCTAATTAGCCATTTCTGTTGCCGAGCAGATCTTGATCTGTCTCCTGATTCGCTCGGTATTGCTTGTATTTGCTCGTCAGACGACGAATTTCTGAACAATTTGCAGGCCGCAGTTAGACCATCCTGATATAGTGCACATCAGTGGTGGGGTTGGATGCCCATGAAGTGGGGGGGCTGGGTGGGGCTTGAGCAGTGAGCCACCAAGGAAGTGGTTGATACTCACTCTGACTCACCTGTCTCTCTTCCAGTTTTACACAACAGCAAACTGACTCACACCGACCTGAAGCCGGAGAACATTCTGTTTGTGAACTCCGACTACGATATCGTCTACAATGTGGAAAAGGTGAGGCTCCGCTGAGTGGTAAAGCCCTGCCCAGCTCGGGTCAACCCATCTCCAGATCTGGCCCGCGAATCGTTCAGAAATTCATCGTCTGATAAGTTTTGTAACATGGACACCAATATATGGTCCATCATTTCATAGCATCTTATCTTTGTAGACTCCCATAGCGTAGTGGTTAGAGCGCTCGCCCTGCAAATGAGAGGACCCGGGTTTGATTCCCGGGCAGATCAGGTGGGGGCAAAACCTTAGGCAAGTTTCCTTACTTCCACACACCTCTGTTTTACATAACAGTAAGTAGGAACTTGCTTGTTAATCGATTGGTGGATTGCTTTCCGGGGGTAATAACCCCTCCAAAAAAATAATAATAACAAATTGGTCACTCAATCCACGTCACTTTTTGGGACACTGCTGTGCGCAGCAAGGATTATCATTCATGGACTCCTGGGGTTAGCGGGTGGGGGTGGGATGAGATTAAACCTTGTTAATCTCGGTTTTGTGTTTCTAGAAGCGGGACGAGCGGGTCATTAAGAACACGCCTACCAGGGTGGTGGACTTTGGCAGCGCCACCTTCGACCATGAATACCACAGCACCATCGTCTCTACACGGCATTACCGGGCACCAGAGGTTCTCCTAGGTGGGCATGCGTTCAGCCTTTCTGTCCCTCGCAAACAGTCACCAGCAGGTGTAAAAATAGTAAGAATAAGACACACGCCTTTCACATCGTCAAGATGTCTCGAAGCCTACTTGGGGGATTGTCGGTCGGCACACCGGAAGAGAGATAGAGGAACTCCATCCCGCAGTCCCTCTGCCTCGCCCCCTCCCTCGCCACCTTCCACACCCACCTCAAGACCCTCCTCTTCGACCGTGCTTTCGATCTCCATGCTTCTCCCCCCCCCTCCCCCCTCCCGCCCCTCATCTCGGGTCCGTAACTATCTGTCCAGCGCCTCG